CTTCTGGGCACAAGCCCTTACGGCCGTCTTTTTTATTGGTCGCGAGTCAGGATCGATGGTCAGAACTTCTCTTTTCAGCCGTTTCACGCATTCTTGACACCAAAAAAACCGTCCGGCAAATTTTTTTACATAAATGACTGAAGTTATTATTAGCGCAGGGCCGTGGACAACGGGCAAGATGCTTAAGGCAGGTTTATCGGTAAGTACCCCAACCCATGTTGGATGGCACACAGAGGACAGATTACTCAAAGTTCACACACAAACACACTCGTGGATGTGCACTGATGGGTTGGAGAAGAGAAGGGGTGGAGAATGGGTTTTGTATGTAGACTCTGCTCACCCCGGATGTGGAGGTGCGGCAGGAGTTTCAAGAAGAACAGAATGAGCCTGCCTTGGGCATCTTGGCTTTGTTTGACAAGCACATCGAGGAAATTTTGGAGAAGGTGTGCGGAGTTGCTGACCCAAAGTGCCGCGAATTTACCGCCAAGATGTATCGCGAGAAATATCTTGACGGTATAGTTCGCAGCATTTCGGGTGAGCCCCGTTGTGACTGCACTGCTCGGTTGTTTGTGGGGGAGACCGGATTTTCTTCCTTGGTGGGCCATATGGACCCGTTGTGGTCAGGTGGATGCTCGGAGGCGGAGCGCCACGTGAAGCTACAGGCGGCTGTCGCCTGGGTGCGCGAGGTGTTTAAGGATCAGTTGACGTGCATCGCGAAGGAGATCTATCCGGCCCATCACATAGTGCAGGAGGCGCTGGATGCAAAGAAAGAGGAGGAAGACTTCATCGTCCTAAGCCACTACTGTCCTTGGCAGAAACACCTGTACGCCCTGGAGGCGGAACGAGGCCTCCAGATCAAATGGATCCTTTTCCAAGACGACCGAAATGGCCAGTACAGACTTACCGCCGTTGCGGATGAAACAGATCGTTTCAACAACAGGGCTCTCATCCACCAAGACCTCCGAGGACTCAGAGGCCAGGATGTCGCCAATTTCATCGATCCCGACCAGTCTAAACCCGAGTGTCAGAAAGACGTAAATCAGTACTTCGCCCACCACTCTGGTTTCACTGGCGGAGCACCAAGTCTGGAAGCAGCCAGACTCCTGATGCAGTACCAGCCTGCCAATGCCGCTGAAATCGACTCGCCGGTGCACGACTAATTTTTAGCCAAAGACTGCGTCCACGAACTGTTCGATCACCGAATAACAACAGTACCCCGGCAGGGGCAATTGATGACCGTGCGGTATCGGAAGGGGAAGGGGAAGGGGAAGAGAGTTAGTATAATCTAGCTACGTTCGTTTGGCGGGTTGGGTGAGTTCTCCTTTGACTCTTCACTGACACTGCCAAACTTCCTCATCAATTCTCGGCTCTTTTCTTGTGTTTGACAACACTACAAGTGACGGGAGTGTAGTCGAGGAGTATGGTCGTTGCGTGTAGTGGGTCATCACGTGTAGTGGATCACGTGGGGTGTGTGTAAGTTACCACTTCGTCGAAGAACTTGTCTAGGAATTCTTGCACGGTGAGGTCTCTGTATTGCTCGAGGAAGTTGATCGCTGCGGCGACTTCGGGGGTAGTGGCAGCGATGTCTGAGTCCATAATTATTTTGATTAAACAGCGATTAAATTGGAAATCGATTAATTACTGAATTTTGAGACCGAGGTGATGGCGGCAGCTGCGGCGATAATTCCTGCTCAGGAGCGTGGCGGTATTGCAGGCGGCGGTCGTTCATGGAGTCAGTTGCAGGACGTGGAGGGTGAGTTGCGTCGGGAGTTTGCAGCCTGGGTTCGTACTGCCCGGTTTGAGGACGTAGCGGAGGACGAGCTGGAGATGGCGGAACAGGAGTGCGGTGCCTCGGGCCAGGGCGGGTACTACTACCGGGTGTTAGAGTGCCTATGTCGGGGATCACGCAAGGTGCGGGCCTGCAAAAGGTCGCCACGGTCTGGGTTCGTGAGTGTGATCTTCAGTTTCAACCATTTGTCGCAGGGAGCTGCTGCGGTGAAGAAGTGGGTGCTTGAATACCCCGTGGACACCTCCTTATTGATTGATGATGAGTTGAAAAGGCTTGTTAGTGAGGAGCTGCTGCCCGCTACACAAATTGCGCTCCCTCCCTTTATTGGTCTCCGTTCCAGCTTCTGCCACCACCCGAAACCTACGGCGATCCGGCAGCTATGCGCCTCCAAGGATGTTGAGACGCTGGTCTGCATTACCGGCGTCTGTCTGCGGCTCTCCTCCGTCATTCCCGAAATGCAGGTGGCCGTCTTCCGTTGTACTGGTAAGGCGTCGCGCAACTTCCAATACGTACTATGTAACCACGAGGTCTCCGTACCCGTCATCGCGGGCACCGTCGCAGAGCCACAGGTCTGCGAAGCATGCCAGGGCCGCAAGACCCTGACACTCGCTCATGACAAATGCGTCTTCGCCAGCAGACAGGTCTGCAAATTACAGGAACTACCCGACCAAGTGCCAGAAGGCGAACCACCCCAGATGCTTTTCGTATACCTTTACGACAACTACGTGGAATGCTGTCGACCTGGTGATGTCATCGCCGTTACCGGAGTTTATCGCACGGTGGAGACTAGGGTCAACCCGCGCACCCGCAACCTCAAGAAAGTCCATAAAATGTACTGCGTATAGACACCCACCAACCCCCCCGGAACACCCTCCCCCGTGGCGTGATGTAACGGCCTGGTTTTGTAGATCGATAGACGCGTTTTCGGTTTCTACGGAAGGCACGAATGTGTTCGACGTGGATGTGAATCGGCCGTTTGCGCCTTCGTTTGTGGGCGACGCGCATCGTTTGGCGGCTGACCCGGGATGCTACGAGCGTTTAGTGTGTTCATTTGCACCGGACATTTGGGGAATGGCGGACGTGAAGAAGGGATTATTGTGTCAGTTGTTTGGCGGGTTAACTGAGCACGTGGATGGTGAAGGATCTCGTATGCAGTCGCGAGGTGAGTTACATGTGCTACTATGCGGCGACCCTGCTGTGGCAAAATCGCAGTTGCTACGGTATGTTAACAAGTTGGCTACACGATCAGTGTATGTGGTCGGTCGCGGTACGACGTCTGCGGGTCTGACGGCGAGTGTGACCCGTGACCCAGAGACGAAGGAGTTCGTGATGGAGTCGGGAGCGGTCGTGCTCAGCGACCGCGGAGTATGTTGCATCGATGAATTCGACAAAATGAATGACCACACACGCGCGATTCTACACGAAGTTATGGAGCAACAAACCGTCTCCTTTGCCAAGGCAGGCATCGTCTGCTCCCTCAACGCACGTACTGCCATACTTGCCTCTGCGAATCCTATCGGCAGCCGCTATGACACCAAGAAAAGCGTCGTCGAAAACATCAACCTACCTGCTAGCCTGATGAGCCGATTCGACCTCATTTTCTTGTGCCTAGACCTGCGCACTGACGAAAATGACGAACGACTCAGTAGACACATCTGCCGCCTCTTCCGCGAAACACCCAACGCTCAACCGGAAGTGGTCCACCTGGGAATGAACGAGCCGAGTGGCCGCAACGGACGTGACCATCGAATGGAGGCGGAACCGAGATCGGCGCCGGAGTCTAGTTCTGGCGGAGTTTTGAGCCCTGCGTTTTTTGCGCAGTATGTGACCTATGCGCGGTCTACATGCCGGCCGGAGATGTCTGGAGAGGCGGAGACTGCATTGGTGGAAGCGTACGTGGGTCTACGGGGAGTGGGTGGACGGAATCCGGTGGGGACGCCGCGGCAGTTGGATTCGTTGGTACGGTTAGCAACGGCTTTGGCGAAGATGGAGTTGGCACGGGAGGTACGAGCGCGACACGTGCGTGAAGCGGCCCGACTGATCCGGGCGGCAACATACGAGGCCCTCACGGACGCGGCAACGGGAAAACTGGACTTTGACCAGTTGACAACGGGCAAGTCACACAGCCAGCGACTGCGCGAGAAGGTCTTGTGCAACAAGGTACTGGACCTACTGGATGCCGTGAAACCCGATGGCCTGAGTCGAGAAGACCTCGGACTGCGTGTAGACGAATATCTCGCGCGCTGCCTCCGAGGCGAAGAAACAAGTCTTGTCGACACCCGGAACCGGGTCGATGGCGTCGACCCACAAGTCGTCTTCGCACCCGTCCGCATGCGAGAAGTCGCCGATATCGTAGCGCTACTCGAACGGACGCGCAAAATCGGTCCCATCAGCGGCCAACGCTACACCATAATTAACTAGACCTGACCAACCGACCAACTACGACCGACGGCTTAACACATAGATAGATAGCTATGTATAGTTGACAGCTTCCCCCCCCCCGCCACCCGGGGGGCTTTGCCAGCCTGAGAGAACTTGTTCTGGAAGAACTTGTTCTGGAAGAACTTGTTCTGGAAGAACTTGTTCTGGAAGAACTTGTTCTGGAAGAACTTGTTCTGGAAGAACTTGTTCTGGAAGAACTTGTTCTGGAAGAACTTGTTCTGGAGCCATCCCGGAGCAGGTTATCCCGGATGGGGTTTATGGGGTGTTTTAGTTTCTCGTAACCGATAGCGGCGCTGCTTTATTCTTAAGTAACAAACGATGACGTCAGGACAAAGGGGGATCAGTGGGATGAGGAATAATGTTAGTAGGTTGTGACTGGTTGCCTTACTCCTTTACTGTGTCATCATTGTAGTATTTTACATGCTCCGGAAGTTCATAAATACTGTATGATGAATCCACCGTTTGTGCCACAGCTGATTCCACTGGTTTGGATGACGCTTCCTTCATCAGGCCGGCCCCCTGGTCTTTGTTTTCTTCTGTCCAATAGGCGATGAGATTCCCTTTGCTCGTTCCTGCAAATAGCTGCAACGAGGGAGAAACATACAAGGCGCTAAACACTTCTCCTTCCTCCAGGCTGCAAGGTAATTCCAGCGCTTTGACAAAGTCCAACTCAAATGTGAACCAGACAATTCTATTGTCGTGATCCACAGTCAGGATATAAGAGTCGTGCTTGTTTGCGGAGTACAACGCCATCAATGGCCTTCCCAACCTACTACCTGACAACTTTATGGTTTTCAACAAGCTTCCAGAGAACAAATCAAAACAGGCTATTGTGGTCGGAGTTCTGGCATATACTCTCAGCTGACCAGAGCTGGACGGCAGGTTATTTCTTGATTTACCGCCAGGAACAGGGTCACCGGCAGGAACGGGGCTACCGTCAGAAACGGGATTGCCATCAGAAAGCGGTCTATGATCAGGAGCCGGTTCAATATTACATATGATAATCTTTTCGACAGGTTCTACTTCCTGGAGTCGGATGACTTTCTTGGGCTTTTGGGACTTGATCCCACTTCTCCAAGTTCCGTCCCATATCTGGATGCTGCCATCAGCGCATCCAGCGACCAAAATTTTATTGTTGTCGTACATTTGTGCGCAGCACACGCGTGTTTGCTTAGTTAAACTTTTATTTTCCCGGTCGATAGTCTTGTAGACGCACGAAGACGGTATTCGCTGGTCCAGCCCTTTGGGTTTGGAGTTCCGATTGAATACCCTGACCGTAGTATCTTCGCTAGTTGTCATGATGTGGTCACCATCGAGCCAGAATCCGTCTGTCACTCGGTGCGTGTGTCCAAATGTGTTGGCTGTGTCCCGTACGTACATATCTCCTTTGTACGTTTGCCATACGACGGCGTTATCGTTGTTCCTGATCTCTACAAACGGTTCGCCGGCAGCGATCATCAAGAACTTGGTAGAACGGTCATACTTGAGTAATAAAACCGGCAGACCTTCAAAGTCGGCCCACTGTTCTACAACACTTCCATCCTTGACCATGGTGGCGAAATAAAACATCAACACCTTTCCACGGCCTGAACCAACCACGAGGCGCCTTCCGTTGGGCGCCACCGACAAAGTGGTTACCGTTTCACTCTCGGCTAGCTTAGCTTTGGTGCTATACACCATGACGGGACAGTATTCCTTAGCATGCTGATTCATATCTTCAATCCACTGTACTGTCGCTCCGGCGACAGGAGCGGCCAGTGGTCGCCCCTGAGGAGATCCCGTTTTGTTCCGCTTGGTCACGTCTTCACCTTGATTCAATCCCTTGTTCAATTCCGGATTTTTTTGTAAGCTTCTCTTCCGTGACTCTCCATCAGTCTGCTGCATCGCAAACCGTTGGTTGGTCCGGTCTACGCCATCAGTTTCTCCGGTGTTCCCCTGCTCCTTCCCTTCTTGCTCCTTCCCTTCTTGCTCCTTCCCTTCTTGCTCCTTTCCTCCTTGCTCCTTTCCTCCTTGCACTTTTCCTCCTTGCTCCTTTTCTTCATCGCTGCTTACTGGATAGGCACCGAACAGGTTGCTCATCCTGCGAATTGCGGTTTATTGTGGGCAAATATACTTAACCCCGGGGGGGAGCCACGACCAGCGTGCGATAAGACAATTGTCAGGGCATGACGGAATGACATACTCTTGTATGCTCAGGCACCTTGTCAGGGATGGGTGCACATGAGGTTGGGGTAAGAAAGGTTTGTTAGTTAGGTGTGTTTAGCTTGTAGTAGGGAAATTGGTGGTTGGGACTGGTGGTTGGAAAGTGAGTGTGAAAATTGGTCTTATGGGTCGTTTGCGTGATACGGATGATGAAGATGAATACCTGGAGGTGGAGGAGGAAGAATGTCGTTCACCTGTTGTGGTGTGCTTGTCCCCGGAACCTATTCGGAAGATTACTACCGTTAGCCGAGTACATCCCGTAAACACAGTGGAGGATATTATCGAGAGTGCCAGACATTTCTCACCCCTCACTGACCCCCAGGAGATTAAACGGTTGTGTTGTGAGAAGGTGCCCACGTGGAAGATATTTCAAGTTGATCCAAGCATGCTCGAAGCCGAACAGATTGTAGCCGGTTTAACGAACCAATTATTTCAAGTAAGTTTACTTCAGCGGACTTCCCCGCAATCCAATTCGCCCCAACCAACGGCAGGTTCAAAAGCAGTGGAGAGCCGTAAGGGAATGGAGGGTCTAGTCCCAGTCAAAGTTCTATTTCGGGTATACGGGACCGCGGTAGGAGACCTGTATGACCCTGAGAGAGAGTTTGCAATTTTTCGGTTGTTAAGTGAAGTGGAGGCTGCCCCCAAGTTGTTTGCTTCGTTTCCGGGCGGCCGAATTGAAGAGTTCATCAAAGGCCATTCGCTGAAGAAGAATGAAATGGATAATCCAAGCGTCCTATGTGCCGTGGCTACCGTCTTGGCTCGGTTCCACCGCCTGGCGGAGCGCCTGCCGCGAGTAGCTGAATTCAATGACGGTGAGCTGGGGCTAGTTACGAGCTTATACAAATGGAGCCAACGAGCCAGAGAAATTGTAACCGCAGCTAATCACTATGCTAGCCACAGCGGTTATCATAACTCTTCTCGGAAGGCGCAAGAATCATGTCACTATGAGCCCACATCAACTGAAGCCCTCATGATACAGCGCATGAAAAGCATGTCTGACAGCGACAGTGCTGATTGGAAGAAGCGTTTCACCGACCTACCCCTGGATGCCATGACCAAGGAGATACCCGATCTACTCCGTATCCTTCAGGAGGACGACGATCATCTCATTCTGCAACCTGCCTTCTGCCATAACGACGTTCAAGAAAATAACATACTTGTGGTACATCACACACACTCCACCCGTGGTACATCACACCTACTCCACTTGTGGTACATCACACCCGCTCCACTTGTGGCACATCACACCCACTCCACACACAGCTGTCAAATTCAGAGTGGAACTCGCATACGGTTGATAGACTTTGAATATTCATCGTATAACTATCCCGCGTTCGACATTGCTAACTTCTTTGCTGAAATGCGGATGGACTATTGTGTGGACCAGCACCCCTACTTTACACATGACGTGGACCCCGCGAATTTCCCAGACGAGGAATTGATCCGATTATTTGGTAGTGTGTACATGAGTGCCAGGTGTAGAGCGACGATTCTTCCCTCACACCACTCTTTGGACAGATTCGTATCCATAGTTAAAAAGTTCGTGTTATCTAGTCACCTACTGTGGTCGTTCTGGTCGATCATCAGGTTCTCCCAGGCGAATACGAGTGGCTCGTTCGACTTCAAAGCGTACGCCTTGAGTCGGTGGCAAGCATATCTTTTGTGGAAGAAACATATTTCAGTTTAACACACGCGTTTGCGCGATACATGTGTGCGATATAGAGATACATGTGTGCGCCACAGGTGATAAGCAGGGCTTAGAGCAGGCTTCAAAACACAGCTACAATTCTTCGTCCTTTCTACAGACCATGCGCCGTCGCAATCTGCTTCAAGTCGACGGTGCTCTGATCGTCCGATACCTTTTCGAGGACGAACGTCCATCCTCTGAAGACGGCGCGTCCTACCTTCCACAATCTTCCTTGAAGGGCGGCAGACATACCGCAACCATTGACCAACACTTTCGCACCCTGCCGGAACCATACTTGCCTTTGGGGACGGCTTCGCAACCGGTACACACGCCGCCACAATTCTCGATGGTAAGCGAGTCCGGCTGTGTGTTCCCAACTGTCGAGGCCCCCGCGCGGATCACAGGAACGGCAGTTCCCCCCCCAGCAAGGGCTCCGCGCAATCTAGCACTCGCCGAAGGTAGTATCGCTCTGTCGACTCGAGCGCGATTAGGCGCGTGTGCTAAGATGTGATTGTGTTCAGGACGTGGGGGTGAGCGTGCCCGCGCTTGCATCTTTTGTCTTTGCCGACCGATCACCGCAGGCAGTCGTTCCATGCCTCCTCTTGGCTTGGTGAGAGTCCGCAGTGTGATGTCGACACTCCCTCGCTCTCCCAGGCCACCTCCCCACGGAATGTCTTTACCTTGACGGCGGCCGCACGTTTCAACCTCCACAGCCTCATTATGTTGGCCGGCCGTGATACCACAACCATTGGACAGCTTCTCGTCGGGCCACCCAGCCACCCAGCCGACTCGTGTGCTTACCGTTCCTAGCCCGTCGAGGCCACCATTCCCTCTCGTGGTTGCCTGGTCGTCCATGGTGATGTAGGTCGGCTGTATGGCTGGCGTCCGGTTTATTCCCAACAGCGCTACCCGGGCTTTCTTGCCTGGCGTTTAATGGGCAGCCTCGGAATTCAACACAAGCCAGTAGTGGTAAGCACCGAGGTTCCGTCATTGTACTTTGGTCATCCTACAACTCATTTGAAGCTACCGTGAAGGAAACTCGGTTTCTACATGCGTCGAGTAGGCTCGGTCGAATTTGCCTCACGCTCCACCCATCGGTCCTCGACCCACCCGGTTCAGTCGCACTTCCTTTCGCGTCCTTGCCTTGGTCTTCAAAGTTGAAGTCCTGGGACTCGTCTTCTAAACCAAACCCAGTAGGCATTCCCGAACCGCTCTATTGCGAACCCCTTTGCCCGACCGTACGTTATGCCCTTATGTCCGCTATGACTCCCTCTCGTGAATGGCCAAGAAATAATGCAGGTTATACCTTGTGGGCCAAATGGATCCAGGAGGCCGGGAATCAGCAGTAGTAAATTAAGGGTCGAATATTAATGAGAGCAGGGCCGAGTCGAAAACATCATCTCCCCGTCAGAGGTTTCTTCCTTGCGATGCATACGCGGTGTAGTGGTGCAAGCACTTCGGAGGGTGGCCACCAACAAGCCACTGCTGGGCGGCAGACGCCCGTCTCATGGCCTGGCGTGTGGAACGACTTCGGTGGTGCCCCCCCTCTCTTCGTTTCGCCTGGAATCATTCGACCAGTGCCCCTTCCACCTGGGATCATTCGACCTATACCTATTCGGCCTATGCCCCTTCCACCTGGGATCATTCGACCTATACCTATTCGACCTGTGCCCCTTCCACCTGGGATCATTCGACCTGTGCCCGTGTCTATTCAGCATCTGACAGGTGGGGTTGTGCCCGCTGGGCCTCCGGACGTGGGGCCTTGGAACATTGGGCCGGTGAAGATGAATCCCAACTACGTCGACCCACTGGAAGTCGACCCACTGGAAGTCGAGCCGCAGGAAGTCGAGCCACTGAAGGTCGAGCCACTGGAGGTCGAGTCACTGGAAGTTGAGTCACTGGAAGTTGAGTCACTGGAGTTCAACCCACTAAAGGTCAATCCACTGAAGGTCGACCCACTGAAGGTCGACCCACTGAAGGTCGACCTAGTGGCTGCCCCGGAGGAGGAGGCCCCGGAGAAAGTTACCTCTGTGGGCGACGTTTCCGGCGCGACGGGCTTGGAAGCGGCAGCGGCCGGCGCGTTTCGGTCGATCCTTCCAAGGCCGGACGTTAGCCGTAGTTGTTTCCGGTACCGGCAGTGTGGTGAGATTCCGTGGAAGTGTAAAATCGACTTGGAGGCTTTGCGGAAAGAAAATGTGGCAAGGACGAGATGGGCGTTCCTATCGGTGGGCGAGTGGTCCCGTGTTCTGAGTTTCCCGGAGGAGGCGCTACGATCATGTCGGAAAGGATACTTGGAAGCCGCGTATTTAATTGCTTCATACATCCGCTATCCAGTGGGCGACGTGATACCATTAGTGAAGTTCAAGTTACAAGACAGGTTCCAGACCCTACGTGGGCTCCGGAGAGACATGAAACCCTGGGAGCTAAGGATAGTCAGTGTGCATCTCTGCGTCTGGATTACGGGATGTATACTACAACACGCAAAGGTTGATCCTGCCCGTCTGGAATGGTTCTGTCTCGAAAAATTGAAGTACAAATCGAAATCCGAAACTGAAAGCGGATGGAACTTCGCAAGCACCTACTGGAAAAGCCCCAAGGCCGTTATTTCGCATCCCAAGACGCCCAGCTACCTTAGATTTCTCTTTGAGGATGACACGGTCGTGGAACTTGAAAAATTCGCAACCATGACTAAGTCCGGACCAGAAGGCAGAAGGGCGGGCAGACCAAGAAAAAACACCACTCCTTACACGGACCCCAACATGGACCCCCAAGACGCACCGCTCGACCTTAGCCGTGTCCATTAACTAATCCGCTGGAACGCACCGACCGGGTGGAAACCAGGACCAAAGCAACAACGATGGACACTTCTTACATAACTTCTTACACAACTGTCCTACTTCTATTCCACAGAACGCTAGTTCGCCGCTACTTCTATTCCACAGAACGCTGGTTCGACGCTACTTCCGTTCCACAAATTTTGGGCGGGAAAAAAGATATGAAATTGGGGGCGTGTCAGTCGCGAAGGTGTTCGTCCAGAAATCCCTTTGTGCTGGCGGTTTATGGCGCGGTGGGTAGCGGCAAAGACCACCTGGTATGGGGGACGGATGCTTCTGCGGATAACGTACCTGTTCCGGCGTCGCACGAGCTGTTGGCGCAGAACACGGCTGCGTGGAGTGAACCCGTGAGTGGAGTTACGACAGGCGGAATTATGACGGGTGTAGCCGCGGTGGTGTTGAATGATGCGAACGTGTGCGACCACGTGTTGGATATGGAATCCGACTTTGACATGGAAGCTCCGTTGGGTGATGGGTGTCCCTCGGTGGGTTCCTCGACGGTTATCCATGGATGGTGGGAGGACCGTCTTTCCCAGCAGGAGTTGGCGGTTCGAGAGATTGTTCGGTGGCTGCGAGGCGCGTGCTATCGGTACGAGGAGTGTCAGGAGATTCCGTGGCGTCTCCGCGAGGTTCCGGCAGGGGGGACGAGGAATCTCGAGTCGGTGAACGACATGCCACTTAGAACCTTGATGGAGGGAATGCTGCCGCCCGCGTTGTGGGAAGGTTTGAAATGCTTCCCATCAGCTTCGCTGCAAACGTGCAACGGTGAGTACCTGAGCAGGGCCTTCACGCTTGCTTCGTACGTCTCCTGCCCGGCCGGTGACATCGTGCCGAACACGAAGACGGAGCTCATCACCAAGTTCAGGGCAGAACTAGACCGCGATGCCTTCGATGTGCCGCAAGCTCTGGAACGCGAGTTCATGGAGGCCTGGATTACGGGTTGCCTCCTACAATGGACTGGAGTTTACACGGAAGCCCTCGACCACTTTTGCGAAACTCTCCGACATCACTACCCTCAACTGAAGGGGCTGAAATGGGACTTCAAAACCCAGCTGCAGTTTGCGGATAGGCTCGACTCGTCCGTGAACCGAACTGTCGCACCACGCCCTTCCGCCGAAATCGACTTGCCAAGGTTCGCTCGGCTCTTCAAATGGAGAGAACTGCTCGAAGTGAATCCTAAAAGTCTTGATGAGAGCAGTGGGAGCCTTGCGGGAACCTTCGGGAATGCTTCTGAGAGCAGCAGCGCTTCGACGGCCACCTCGACCGCCGAGACGTATGGGGCTCCCACCGCCCGTGGTACTCCCACCGCCCATGGGGCTCCCAGCGCCCGTGGGGCTCCCACCACCTATAGGGCGCCCACCACCCATAGGGCGCCCACCATCTACAGGGCTCCCACTGCGGTGTATGATATCCCTCCATCCTCTTTGGTCCCTGGAGCCTTTGCCGTCACGGGGTCGTATGGGCCTGGTGGAGTTCCGGCGACCTTCGGGAATGTTTCTGAGGCCAGCGGCGCTTCGATGGCCACGGGTACCGCCGAGACATATGAACCGATCTATGAGACTGTTGGATCGGCGGGAAGATCTGCGGTGTATGAAATTGACGCCTTTGGATCCGCTGACCTGTATGGGGCCCCCGTGACTTTCGGGGCGCCGACCGCGGCGATAGTGAGCGATGATAAAAAGACTACACGGCTGGCCAGGAAGGCCTCGACGGTGACTGCTGCGCGAGCGAAGCAGCAAAGTACTCTGGAGTTCGTGGACGCGGGCAAGGCCCACAAACGAAGGTTGGCAGGCGTGCCCCCGCAAACGGAGACCGGGCAGTCGTCACCCTCTGCCCACTTGTAGTGAGGTTATTACGACTGGCTGGCATGGGGATGGCTGACCTCTCAAAATTGAGCATGTCGCGGCTTCTTTCTTGGAGGGGAAAAACTAGTGCGCATATCGAACAAGGAATTGTCCCAAAAGAACTTCGACTGCACAAAGATTGACCGGCCCAGACCGAAGATGATGGAGCAGTCCAATTCTCGTTTTGCTGGCAGTTATTACGGCGCTGAGTCCTCAGAAAACGGGTCTTCAGAAAATGGGTTCCGAAAAGGTAAGTTGTGGGACGGCGGGTTGTGGACGGCGGGTTATTCTTACCAGAGGTTTTTATCAGAGAGGCTCCAGAACGGCGGGTCAGATGACAGATCCGTGGAGGGAGGGGTGCATCTCCGGGAGACCAAACCCGTGGGCCGGGAGACCAAACCCGTGGGCCTGGGCTACAGGCTCGCCCAGAGAGCAGCTGCCGACGGACGGGTTGAGAACGTATCTTTGGTCGACCTGGTGCGGTTCTCGGGTCTGGCAACACGGTACGTGGTTTACTTAGTGGGGTCCTGTATCCTGGGCGCGGCGGCAGGCTTTGCCTCACCGCTTGCGCCGGTGCCGCTCTTTCGGTGGGACCGTTACGGAGGGGGCAACACACCGCCCCTGTCCACTCTCGTGGGGCTGGTGGGCGCCGCTCCTGTGATCACCACTCCTGTGGGCGTGGGAGTCACCTCCGTGGGAGCCGTCCGTACAGTGAGTTGGGAGTTGCCTATGTGGGAATTGTCTGAACGGCTGTTATACACTTGCGGCTTTCTACGCGTTGTGGGGTGGTTGCTGGTGGCGCCATGGGCGGACTTGTTTGGTCGTCGGGAGGTGGTGGTGGGGACGTTGGCTGTGTCGTTGTTGGCCGCCTGTTTGTTGGCGACGCTACCCGGTGACTGTTCCATGGGCGTGGCTGTGGTGGTGTTCCAGCTGTCGATGCCGGGGTGGGAACTGAACGCAGGACTGTTGCAATCGGAGACGGCGCAACCCGTCAGCAGCGTGCTGCCCCTCAGCCTCATCAAATTCGGCAGCATCGCCTTCGGTCTCGGCCTCTGGTGCCTCAGCTGGCTCCGTCTCTGGGCGCGCTACCCAGATGACGCGCGCTTCGCAGACAACTACTTCGCTGAACGCATGACCTTCCTCATCTGCGCTGGCCTCCTCGCCATCGGCTTCGTCTTCTTCCGCTGGGTCGCCCATGACAGCCCACAGTACCTCATCCTCAAACAAAACCAAGGCGCCGCCTGGGCCGCTACGCAGTCACTCTGCCACCGAGACAGCGTCCACCACTATCTCCGCAGCCGCCTCGCCCACCCCCCCGCCCAACCCTCGTTTGCACACGGGTCCGCTCCCGCGTTTGCGCACACGGTTACGCCCGTCCACACCGGTGCCCATCCCGACGCGCCGCTACGGCAGTCGTGCGTGATGGTGCTGCGCACCAGCGGCGCCAATGCGGAGTACTTGGACGAGCCGCGGCTGGGCCGGCGGGTGTGGAGACACCTGGAGGTGGCGCGCGACCGCCGCTCCTGCCGCCTGCCGCCGCTGCTATTCGTGGCTATTTTGGCGGCCGTGAAAGGGGTGGGGTACAGCCTCAACAGCTGGGCCGTGGCCTACTGGGTCGGAGTCTTGGACCGACCACATCGTAACCCCCGCCGGCTCTTCACCGACTTCGCCGCGCTCCCCGGGGCACTCCTCGCCTACGTCATGAGCGACCTGTGGTACAAACGCCGTCACGCGCCAGACCATGCCTCTCCACGTGGCCACTCCGGCGGTCTAGCCCAGCCGGTGGACAACGACCGCGACGCCGCCGACCACGACCGCGAGGCCGCCGACTACGACCGGGAAGCCGGCGGAGACGAGTATGACCGAGAGTTTGCGTCCTTTGAGCAGTTCCGGGCGACGCTCAAGTTAGCGTTGGGGTGTTGCAGCGCTGTGTTGCTCTTGACGCTGGCGAGTCCGGAGGTTTTCGGACACTGTCTGGTATTGCGATTTGTGGTGGCGTGTGGATTGCAGACCGTGTCAAGTGCCCTCGTCATCTGTGCCGGCGCGATGCTCATTGATGGGTGTTCCGTGAACGTGCGCGCAACCTACGTTGCTTGGGCACGCGCCCTGGGGCTGGCTGGCTACTTTTTCGCCCGCCTCCTGCACCACTCCGCCTTTTTGGCACTTACCCCTGCCACCTGGCTTTTCACTTATTTCCTTATCTTCGTCGCCCTCCGAAAGAATGGCCGAAGCACCCGCGCAAGCACTGCACGACCGTTGCCAAGAACTCATTGACCAGACCAAGACACAGGCCACCGAATTCGTCAACTCGTGCGCACACTTCGCTCGACGCATGACCAAACCCTCTGAGAAAGGTAACCCTCTACCCCCGCCATCTGGTCTGCCCTCTGGCCCCTCAGCACCTACCACAGTCCCCACCCCCACGCGTGCCCTAATCTCGCCCTCACTATCTCACTCCAACCCCCTCGTTTGTCCCAACGCCACGTTTTGCCGCCCCTTCAGAGTATAGATTTCTGCTCGGCGCGCATGTGGCGGGCTTCGTCGTTCTGGCGGTGGTCGGACTGGCTAGCCGCCTGTTGGCCATGGCTCTCCGTTTCGTGCTAAGATTACCCACTCCAGGATCCTTTTGAACAAAAATCAATGATTGCATATATGGTCAGCTGTGTTGGCACACAACAATTTAGGCCACACCACACACGAGGAATGGCCGCACGTGGGGAATGACCACAACACATTCATGCAACTGACCAGAGCTGCATCGATATGGCAACTGACCAGAGCTGCATCGATGTGGCAACTGACCAGAGCTACATCGATGTGGCAACTGACCAGAGCTGCATCGATGTGGCAACTGACCAGAGCTGCATTGATGTGGCAACTGACCAGAGCCACATAACATGATTGTGCAGTTTAACCGAGCTAGTGAGTACGATTCCAGCCTCTTGGTGTTGGCTGTTGGTATTGGTTCTTGACATGGTCCATTGTGCTGTGGAGAAAGTGGGGCTTGGTTTGCCGCTTCAGAGCTGAAATGAACTCTGTCCAAATAGGTTTGAGCAGACCTTTGTTGAATATCCCAAGTGGTCGTTTGGCCTGATACTTTCCGGGCTGATACTTTCTGGCCTGATACTTTCTGGCCGCATATGAGTGTGCTGGCGTAGGCGGTATGTTGCAGCCTAGGCGGAAGGTTTAAGCCAACCTATTTTTGTTTCGTTCCCAATTCTGTTAGTACCTTTTAGCCTGAGCAATCTTGTGTCTTCAGTGGCATACCTGTAGCATTCATTTTCCTGTCCCGCTTTTATCTTGGGCGCTATTTTGATTCCCCCCACCTGTTCGACCGGAGCACACCTTAGACCTTCGATTCCGCATTCCTGTAGCAACATATCATGTACTGACGGTCTACTGGCGGCCAGCTGACACAAGGCCTCATAAGCGCGCTCCTGGATCACGGGGTCCTCGTCGTGGAGTTCGCTCAGCAGTCGTCTCGTTGTTCGTCTGTCACTAGTCAGCTTCATCTGCGCAACAAACAAACGCCAGCGCCAAGATCTACTGCAAGAGGCCTCGGCCTTGCGCAGCCTTGTATGCTCTAAAGTACATCCCATATCCGAGCTGGACTCCTCAAACATCAACTCATCTGACCCGTGACGTCGATATAATCGCCCAATACACCTCCGCGATTCTGACATTCTAAAAAAAGAAGTTTCCCTAAAAGATGCCAACCCAGCCAAAAGGGGCCTTCCTTGAAGGAGGACCCCGCTCGAGAGACCAAACATATCCGAACAACGTCCGGACTAGAGCAAAGACGTTCGGTCTGAACATTTTCGTCGGTCACTTACATTAGGCACTCGTGGCGTGCGTGTGCTTGTCGGAGCTAAGATCTCAGCGACCTGAAACATTTGTGTGCTAGCACAAACGGGCGTGTGTGCTAGGCACAAACGGGCGTGTGTGCTAGGCACAAACATGCGCGCTGAGTTTCGGTGCTAGCCCATGAAAACGGGTTGTCTGGGGTCGATTTGGAGCACGGTGCAGGCTGGTTTGCCGGATTGAGTGAGTCGTTTTCGAATAAGTGCTTGTAGCCGCGTGCCTCTTTTGGCGTTTTGTAGGGCCGTACGCCTCAAGTATTTGGCTTTTATAAGAGCGTCGAGGAAGGTGACAGCGGGAGCGTATTGTTCCATAAGTCTTCTTTGTAAGAGCATGAGTTCTTGGACAACCTCAGGCTTGAGGAAGATCATGGTTTTCCCTACTTGCCACTGCTTGCCTTCTTGGAAGGGGGATATTAGTTTGCCACAGGCGGAGAGGAGTTGTTGGGCGACTTCTCGCTGGCGGGTGGGAGTAGAAGCGGCCTTCATGGCAGCGTCTAGGTCGAGGTTGATATAACGGAACTGGGTGACAAATTCGTTGAAAGGTCTTCTCCATGAGAAGCCGAGTTTCTTCAGCTGTAAAGCTTCCAAGACGGATAATGAGAAGAGCTGATTGAGTACCTTTTGTGCATCCCAATCGAGCGGTTTCTTGGTTTCATTAGGCTTAACACACCTGATGAAATGCGGCTCCGTCGAAAGGATAATGCCCATCATTTCATCGAGTTGTTTCAAGAACTGCGACGCAATCAATTGACCTTTAGCCAGCTTGCCCCTTTCGACAGGAATGCCAGCAAACATTTCAGCGACGATCGGAGAGCTCGATGCTTGGGCCACTTCCGTCAGTTCCGCCTTCAGCAAGTCGGAGTTCTTACTCACGAAGTTTTGCGCGCAGTAGTTGATGTCCGCAATCGTGTGTCCTACAGTGAAGATGAGGTCCCTGTCTCCGCCTTGAGGCTTTCGGAAGGCCTTCGTGGTTCCAAGTGTCTGACACAGCAACGAGTAGAAGGAAGCGTCGGTGCCGCCCTTGTTGATGCAGCTGTCTTCAAGCACAGCGAAGATCGAGCCTCTTTTGCCAATCAAGGTGTCGATGACTTCCTTGTTATCTGTGAACACAAGCTCTGTCGTAGACACCCCTTCTTCTCTATACAGTTTCGACTCCCGTTCGAAGACAATGTCAATGAAGTTCTTTTGCAGAAACTCGTTCGTGATGTTAATCAAGAGCTGCTCGAGCGAGTTCTTGTCGAAAATCTCGAAGCCGAAGATGTCGAGCATGCCCATGAACTCTTTGAAGTACTCGGGCTCGATAGTGCGATTGAGTCGGGCAATGATCCACTTGAACAGGTAGTCGTACATGGCCTTGCCCAACGACTGGCAAAGTAAAACCGCCTCCGGCTTCTGGATTCGGACCGTGACCTGCTCGTTTCCGATCGTCTTGGCGGTAGTACAAAGCCCGCTGGCGACCTTGTCCACGTCGTCCAGCTTGAGCAGCACGCAGGCCTGCTGCAGCAGCGCGTAGTTGCCCGCATCTAGCTGCGCCGCGTTATCCTGCCCTTCAATGGTGGCGCCTTGGAACTGCACATTGCCCAGCTTGAGCACGCCCGAGACGATGCTGAATACGGCGTCGATGTCTGTCGGCGTCAGCTGCATCGAGACGAGGCTCTGTTGCACCTCCTGCCAATCGCCAACGTCATCGATGCCGTCGACGCTGTAGCACCCGCTGGCCGTCCCGACGGCGGAGCCATTGAGATTGCGGTAGGTCTTGACGTCTTCTAGAGCATACTTTCGTTTTTGTTCGGCGCTTGCGCCCTTGAGCAGTTGGTAGAAGATATGGAAGCTGCGCTCGTTCGTGGCCTGGCTGCACACACGCACTTTCTCCAGCAAGAAGCCAGTCACGCGTCCATTAAGAATGCCTCCGTGCGGTGCCAGGACGAGTTGCATGAACCTCCCGAAGCGGGAGGAGTTGTTGTTCCTCAATGTCTTGGCATTCCCGAACGCTTCCAGGACGGGGTTGGCAGCCATGACCGCCTTTTGGATGCGCAAATCCATGCTTCCTTTGGCTGAGGCGAAGTACCGCATGCAGTGCTTCGTTGCCTCAGTCTTACCTGCCCCCGATTCCCCCGTCACAATGATCGTCTGTGATTTATTCACCGACACCAAGTTCTCCATTGCCTCTCGGGCAATTGAAAACGAATGTGGAGGCAGGTGTTGAACTGAAGCCGCATCCCGGTACTTAACAATCACCTCGTCCGTACAATTCCCCAGATCACGGAATGGGTTAATTGCCACCATCAAAGGGTCCGCCGTTGTGTATATCATATTTTGCATAAACCGCGCACGTAGAAAATCCAACACACATGCACTGTTCTGATGGCTCAGTAATCCAATGTCACGCAACGCCATCGGATTCATTGTCTCTTCATTGCAATTCAATAACCTACTTGGAGCCGCCTCAAACTCCCCATCCTCATACCCAGGCGGGTCGATCTGCCGCAACTTGTATGTCGTCGACGTCGAACCCGGCAAAACCAGGCACTTCGCATAACAAGTAGACGGAGCCGCCTTCACAGAAGGCGCCTGGGCACTCCACACACTAAAATTCTGACACCACGCACAATGGAAACAATTTTGCACACACGTGTGCACACACACGCCCTCTCCCGAAATGTGTCAGAACGCCTACCTTTGATACCTGACCCGATGGATCCACAGCCTCCACCTTTGAGGCTGCTCTTTCTGGAGCAGTACGCTGCTTTGCTCCTACCTTAGCCTTTGCTTTCGGGGGCATTCCTTCTATAAAATTTCGCAGCACACAAATTTAACATCTCTCCACCGGGATCGGCCGCCCGGATGTGTTGGACTGTGTGGAAGACTGGAGACTGGGCTGCCACTGATCTACCTGACTGCTCAATCGCCCGTCTGTATGTCCCGCCCCTCTTCATCCTGGCGGTCGCTGAGGGCCTTGGGCGGGCCAGCTGAGCGCTCTGAGCCAGCCAGCTGAGGGTTCCGATAACCAACCTTACGCTCGTACCGCGTCTCACGGACGAATTCAGTCTCTCATGCGGTGTCTAGTAATCTATGTTTAGCTGCTATGTTCAGGGGATTGGATTGATCCGTGTTCAGATATAATGTTCAGATCTTCTTATGTTTAAAAACAATGTACAAAAACTAATTAGCTATGCAGTTCTCATTCTGAAATGCGGGTGCTACGTCGGTGGCCTTAGAGACGGGCTCATGACTGGAGGCGGTAGTGGTTTGGCCGATGTTGGGTACGGTGGTCAGTCGTCTAATTTGTTCGGGTGTTGGCCCGACAACTTCGCACTCGCTTAGTTCCCAGACCTTGTTGGCATAGTCGTTAATGGTTCGGTCGGTGCTGAATTTGCCCATCTTGGCAGCGGCCTCGATGGTCTTCTTGCACCAGTTACGCGCGTCGCGGTACTCCCGATCGACGCGTTCGTTAGCCTCGACGTAGGATGGGAAATCGTGCGCGACAAGGTAGAAGTCTCCGTTATGTCCGTAGCCATTGTTCCGAAGACGATCAACGAGTTCACAAAACTGTGATTGCGCATTGTGATCGCCTCTCGCAACGGCACCTGACTTTACGAAGTCGAATACACGCTGCAGCCGGCCATCGATACGATATCGACCGTCACGGGCGTCCTGTCTGATTCTGTTCACGTCGCGTTCAAGTGCGCCGAAGATAAAGGCTGTGTCTTCGCCACCCTCCGCTACGATCTCCACCGTCGCGCCGTCCATGGTGCCGATGATAAGCGAGCCGTTCATAACAAACTTCATGTTCGATGTGCCGGACGCCTCCATACCGGCTGTTGAGATCTGCTGATTGATGTCGGAGGCTGGAATGATCACGGCCGCCGAGGAGACATTGTAGTTGGGCAGGAAGAACACCTTGAAGTACGGCGAGACGTCAGGGTCATTGTTCACTAAGTCGCCCACGCAGTTAATCATCTTGACAATGGTCTTGGCCGTCGCGTAGCCCGGCGCAGCCTTGCCTCCGATCATGCTCAAACGAGGCACCACGCCACGTCTCTGCTCAGGCGACATATCTTTGATCGTCAGGTAGCGGTGAATCAAATAGAACACGTTCAGGTGTTGTCTCTTGTACTCGTGAATGCGCTTGACCTGAACGTCGAACAACGTACCCTCGGGGTTCACCGACGGTCCGCCGTGCAACTTGATCCATCGCACCAGACGCTCCTTGTTCTGCAGCTTCACCTTAGCCCATTCCTCAACCAGCTCCGGGTTTTCAATGTGACTCAACAGACCCTCCATTAGCTCCAACTTCTTTAACCACGCATCGCTGCCCAACCACGTACTAATCAAATTGGACAATGGTCGGTTTGCGTTGTGGATCCACCGACGAGGTGTTACGCCATTCGTGATGTTCAGGAACTTCTCCTCACCCTTGCTGCGGTAGAACTCATCGAACTCCGGGAACAAGTCTCGAACGACCAACTCACTGTGCAGTGCCGCTACACCATTCACTCTGCGGCTACCCAACACAGCCAGGTTCGCCATACGGATGAACTTGCTGCCGAATGCTTCCTCGTAAATCGAAACCTTGGACACCTTCTGATAGTCATCGCCCCACAGGCCGCGCACGTCCTGTAGGAAGCGGTGGTTGAGTTCGTTGATGATTAACAGGTGCCTAGGCAGCAATTTAGCAAAGAGGTCCGCGTTCCACTTCTCCAGAGCCTCGGGCAACACAGTGTGATTAGTGTAGTTGAATACACGGCGTGTAAGGCTGACAGCCAGATCCCATTCCAGGCCCTCCACGTCGACGAGGATACGAATCAATTCGGGAATGCCGATAGTCGGGTGCGTGTCGTTCAGTTGAATCGCCACCTTTTTCGGCAGGTCGCGCCAGTCACGGTTCTCCTTCTTCTTGAAGCGACGGAGCACGTCTTGGATCGTGGCGCACACGAAGAAGTACTGCTGCTTCAGACGCAATTCCTTGCCTTCCGGCATGTTGTCGTTCGGGTACAACACCGAGCTGATGGACTCAGCGTCCTGACGGTCCTTGATGGCCTCCATGTACTTGCCCGCGTTAAATGAGTCAAAGTCGAACTCCTTTGACGGGGCAGCCTTCCACAGACGCAAGTTGATGCAGTTGAAGGTGTCGAAGCCGGGGATGGGGTTATCATAGGCAACCGCTTGCACAATCTGACCGCCGACCCACTTCTGACGGAAGCGGCCGAGCTCATCGGAGTAGTTCTTCACATAGCCGCCGAAACGGACAGCGTAAGTGACGTCGTGGCGGATAACTTCCCAGGGGTTGTCCTGAATAAGCCAGTAGTCAGGGTACTCACACTGCCAGCCATTCACGATCTTCTGCTCAAAGATACCATAAGTATAACGAATACCATAACCCCAGCACGCGTAATTCAAAGTAGCCATAGAGTCAAGGAAGCAGGCTGCAAGACGTCCCAGCCCTCCGTTGCCAAGAGCAGCATCGTGCTCATACTCGTACAATGCCTCCAACTTGTACCCAAGATCCCCTAACGCCTTTCTGTACTGCTCCTCAATGTCCAGGTTAACTAGAGCATTTTGCATCGCTCTCCCTACCAAAAACTCCAGGGATAAGTAGTAGCATCTTTTAGGATCCCGTCGAGCGAAATACTGATTTGTATCGTTCAATAACTCCACCAAACGATCTCTAATGCTGTAGGCTGTAGCTCGATAGAATGATTCTTCATCTACATTAAAACGGTTTCGAGCCAATGTGTACTCAACATGACTAACTACGGATCTTTGGATAGTCTTTATATCTGAGCCGATGTGCTTCTCCATCATGCTCCACAGCATCTGCTGATTTTCCGGCACTACTCCATTAGCCTCATCCAAATCAAGCCCGGCTACCCTTCCTTGTATGTTATGGATCTTGGAGAAAGACGCTTTGCGCTGCATCTCAAAGGCCAAGGAATTAAGTCTCTTGGTAGTGAAAACGGGATCGGCCATTCTTAAACTGTAAATCGACTGATTGAAACCCAACTCAAACTCTAAGGCCTTAATAAGGTAGAAGCGCCTCTGTTAATTGAATATAAGAAAATATCAGCCGATACAGCGACACAGTGTCCCCGCACCCATGCAGGATCGCTTCGTCGGGGTGGTACTAGCACAACATTTACCCTGAGCCAAGCTGTTGGCTTATCGGGGGGTCATTTTGCCGGGGTGCACACGTGTGTGTGCATGGAAGGAAGCTAGGCAAAATACCCCATACTTGTGAATACAGGCGAATTTCATCCGCAAAAATTCCTTCTTTGCTATCTCTGCCGTCTAGGCGTTCGATGTTATTTGGCCTTTCAAGAAAAGACAACAAGGTGAGAGGAGTTTTGAAACCAATCGTTGACGGCGCTTGTGCCCCCTTTGGACCATCCTAATGATAACGCCGTATAAAATCCCAGACCACGAGTTCGCTCCTGTCCTGGACTGTCCGTGCGGCCATTGTACGGAGTTAACAAAGATGATAAATCGTGCCAGTTCCCAAAGATGGAGGCACCGGGGCTCTTCATTGATCTGCAACTGCAAGAATTGTGTACGTCGTTCCAAAAACAGCATGGAGACCCCGACGACAAGGAGCTGACCACGCCCCCGGAGGAACGCCGGCCCGTTGCGTCGCTGTAAAGAATAGATTCTGTTTTTGCTCCGAGACGCGCTTCTTTAAATAATGCCAGCACCAACCAGTGAGGCTGAACTACTTTTTGACTCGATCTTGGAACAAAGCAAAAGACCGCCTCCCAATGCCTTCAGCTCCACAATCACCGCCGAGGAGGAGGACCGTCAGGACATCCAGGAGGTTGTTCAGGAACTTGAGTACCGCCCCCTCCAGATCGACCACGACCGCCCTTTGCTACGGCGGGCAATTCCCACCACAGCTCACCATGACCGAATGTGCCTGTAGACAGCGAGAGGAGTACTATTTCAATTGCGACATTGATCACCTAGGTCGAAAGCTGCTGGATCGGTAAGAGATCGGTTCTTGCCACGTTTTCTGTGTTCAGGGACAATACTGACTTTATGCAGCAAAGCTTCATGCAGCAGAGCTCTATCAATAGCTGTCCCCATATCCCCCGATTCGCCAGCATTTTGGAGAGCTTTGACTACGTGATGCCACAGTAAGGAGGACCCGTCTGCCGCGATTCCCAAGACTGGGTGGACACGCACACACGTGTTCAAACGCACACACAAGCCGGAGTGCACACACAGACACGAGTTCGAGCCCACGTGCGTGTTCGAGAGCAATGGTGATTAATCTTCTTGTCAGACCCGAGCAAGTTTTCCGGCCCCGGGATGTCGAAGCCGAACGGGCGGAGTTGATAAAGATGATGAAGCTCGAATACTGCTCTGACGCGAACACCCAGGCCAGTACTGACGACCAGAGTCAGTCGCCTGGACGCGAGACCCCCACTACCGACAATGACTTTTCGGAGACTCCTACTGACATTCAAACCAGCGATATAAACACTCCCGGACCCGCGGATTCCGAGCCGTCCGCCTCCGAACCACTTGCCGTTGGATCGTCAGTCAGTCCGTCCGATCAGATCCCCGATCGCGGCCCCGACACCGAACAGCTGGAGGAACAGGTCAGGTCTCCGGCAGGGGCCGCCGATGAAGCCCTTAAGCCCGAGGGTCAGGACTGCGACACGGAGACGGGGTCGCCTGACGCAGTAACTCATGCTGCGGCTGACAGTTCTGCGCTTGACAGCCCTGTGGCTGACGGCTCTGCGCTTGCCAGCCATGTGGCTGACGGCTCTGCGCTTGCCAGCCATGTGGCTGACGGCTCTGCGGTTGCCAGCCATGTGGCTGACGGCTCTGCGCTTGACAGCCCTGGGGCTGCACCCCGTGACGAAATCCAGACGCCAGACCGAGAGGCGGCTTCTGGGTCTCCCGAAGCCTCGTCCAGCTCACACATCCAAGCACTCTCAACGGGACTTGACCCGGAGACGACTGCCATAGGGCCGATGGAGGCCACTGATGCGGAGAGCCTGGCCAGAGCGGAGAGCCCGGCTGGAGCGGACAGCCCGGCTGGAGCTGAGAGCCTTGTCAGAACGGAGCAGGTGACCGAACAAACTGCCCCCGCACAAGGAAAGAGCCCAACAAAAGATCAGAGTTCCGCCGGGGTGGAGAACGCGGCCCATGCGGAAAGCCCTGCCAGAACAGAGAGCCCTGCGATAATGGAGGACGCCACCGGAGAAGACGACCCAGCCCGAGGAGAGACCCCAGCTCGAGCGGTAAGCCCCACCAGAGGGGAGAACCCCGCCAGAGAGGCGACGCCCGCAGGTGTGGAGGACACCGCAGGACCGGATGCGGAGAGTTCGGTGTCGCCGGAAAAGGAACGACTGGAGGCGGAAGACCGGGAGGCGAAGCACCGGGAGGCGGAAGACCTGAAAGCACAAGACCTTGGAGTGAAGGCACACGCCGCGGATGTGGCCACCTCTACGGACGCTCCGGACATCTCTCCTGCTGCCGGCCGGGACGCCTCTCCTGGACCCGGTCGGGACGCCTCTCCCGCTGCCGGCGGAAACACCTCTCCCACTGCCGATCCGGATCTCGACCGCTCTGTCACCTCGAGTAGTGAAAATGATACTCCGGGTTCCGGTTCGTCTGCGGGTTCGCAGTCGGCGCGAGGGCCGTTGGTGCCTCGGTTAAGGGAGCCGGAGTTTGACGAGGGTGAGTCGGAGGACGCGTACCCGTCGATTCTGTCGCCGATTATGAAGCCTCCGATGGGCACTCCGGCGAACCTGACACCGCAGTACAGTCCGTCGTTGTGCCAGACTACCACGCCATTGCCTACCCAGATCCCGTTCCCGATCCCGGTTCCGACCCCAACTCAGATTCCGATCGGGACCCCGGCCTTGGTGCCGGTTCCGATCCCAGTTAGTTTGCCGGTAGGAGCGGTGGGTTTGGGCGACGTGGTTGTGAAGACTGCGCGGGTGGGACCGACGGGTGAGCGGTGTGCGGCGTTACGACGCGCGGAATCATGTCCGGGTCGGTTCGAGCCTGGACTCGCACCGGAGGACTCTCCGTTCGGAGCGCGGTTGGTGCGGAGTAGTAGCGAGACGCGGCGCTGGAACCCATTACTGGAGGAGGACCGGACGAGTGAGTGGCGGCGCGATCGGTTACGGGCAGCCTCTGTACGAAAGATCGCACCCGTAGACAGTGCGGAAGCTCGCTTCCAACAACATTTGCAGGAGGTCCAAGCTCGAATGAAACGTCTCCGCCAAAAACGCGTTCAGGACGAAGGCGAACAACTCAGCAAACTTATTCTCGATCGCGAGGCACTCCGCGATGCCGGGCCCCGCACCTCCCCCATCAGAGGCAACTCTCGCGTCGCCACCGCAGACGACGCCACCCCTCTCCCTCACCACCATCCAGACCACGTCTCAGACTCAGGCCCCGACCACCTGGCCGACCACGCGGATCAGCATCGGGAGGGGCAAGACCGCATGGACCAGGACCGGGAGGGGCAAGACAACGACCACCCCCGCCGACACAGCGATCACCCCCGCCGACACAGCGATCACCACCCGGAACAGCAGCAGGCGGAACATGTCTACGCTCGCAGTCCGGTGGTGGCCGTGGCCGGGACGGATGCCGGGACAACGACAACCGGCGCGTCGACGCCAAGCAACGGAGTGCCATTCCCGACGCCTTCGCCGACGAAGCAGTCGGGCGGTGCGGTTGGCAGTAAACGCAAACCCAAGACGGTGCTGGTCGCGTCCACAACGGAGACGCCCGAGATCACGGACTTCCGGAACGTGCTTAAAAAGACCGGCCGCCTTGACAAGGTGCTGCAATCCACCAGTCCCAATCGCCCAGTCGTAGCTGCAGGTGATAAAAGAGTAGAACTCATCAGACATCAAATCGTCAAACCGTCAGATGTGCGTGCACTCTTTGAAAAGAAGGCGCGCGAAAACGAGGATGGTGATGCCAAAGAGTGGTGGCTCAAACAAGTCCACAAATACAAGCACTAACCGGACCACTAGTCGGGCCTCGGACCAGACCACTAGTCGGGCTTCGGACCAGACCACTAGTCGGGCCTCGGACCAGACCACTAGCCGGGCTCGGACCAGACCCGTAGCCCGGTCACTAGCCACCGGACGACTAGCCACCGGACCACTGGCCAGACCACTGGGCCGGACCGGGGGGATCTCTCCCGCTCAGCCCCGATCTCCACCGCTCAGCCGCGATCTTTACCGCTTAGCCCCGATCTTTACCGCCCAGCCTTCATGCATCTCCTCAAATCCAGACCCCGTTGCAACGACCACCCAGACTAGGGACCAGAGGGATCGTGATTTTAGTGTTCAGGAGGCGGTTTGCTGCCAGGTTGGTTTTTGCATAGTTTTTTTAATTCATGCAAGGTGCAGCACTATGAACCGCGTCGACTCAAGAACCGAAACGGCAGCCACCTCCACCAATGCCTCACCTGGCAAACGCCTTGACGACGCCCGTAAGGAGATCGACACGTCAAACACAGCGGCGACGCTAGGTGCAGTCGTCTCTTCTGCTGCGGTTACAGCGGCAGTAGGAAGCACAGCGGCAACGGGGAACACAGCGGCAATGCCTGAGATCCACGTGGCGTTGGCGTCTGGGGGAGGTATGACACCGGGTGCGGTTGGGGAGGAGACGCCGTCGGAGGCGGCGTCGGAATCGGCGTTGTCGAGTGGGTTACCGCGGACGCCTTCGATTGGGTTGACACGGGTGCCGGTAGGTGGGGGCGTTCCGGAGGGTGCGTTAACGACGTTGCACACACCGAACCTAAGTCGAACCCCTCGTACTCCGCTTGCTTCAGTTGTGCGTGATTTACCGCGACCGAATGCGTTTCTATTTGTGAATCCTACGTCTGGCGGGAATGCGGCGGGATGTTTTACAGCTCAGGCAATCAATGAGCAGTTGGTCGACGAGTTAGGTGGTGATCGAGGTCCTGTGCGGTTACACGTGGCGGATATTCGCGAGGGTTCATCGGGCAACAAGCCTATGTTCCTGAAGCTGAAGAAGTTGGTTGAAGACCTAGTACTCGAGAATCTGGAGGAACGTGTCACCGTGGTCATGGCTGGCGGCGACGGTACTGTGCTATGGGGCATCTCCGAGATCTGGGAACATGGCATAGATGACAGCTACATTGTATTCGGAGTCATTCCCTTTGGCACCGGCAATGACTTCGCTAAGGCGCTCAATTGGCAACCTTGCGTCATCCAGAACCCCTTCACTTTTGGGTTACCTCAACTACGCACACTTGTAAGCAGCTGGTTGGATAGCAAGGTTATATTACACGACATATGGGACCTACAAATCAAGCTCCGAGAAGGAGGTTGTTTCAAAAAAATTGACTCAAGCACTCGACAGAAAATTGTCCTGAAAGATAACGATGGTCAAAGCTCCCTCATCATGCGGAAAAAACTTAATAACTACTTCTCTCTCGGAGTCGAGTCACGTATTGGCATCGGTTTCGATCGACATCGCAAACAAAGCGCGTTCAGAAACAAGATTGTGTATGTGAATGAAGGAGTTAAAAAGACGCTATTCCATAAACCTGTTGTGGTGTCGAAAATGATCAGGACAATGAAAACAAACAACCCCTCCACTGGTAGACTTCAAACTGTCTTCAGTTCGGACCCCATGAATATGACTCAACGTACATTACGAAAGTGTGCGTCACTTATTGCCATTAACATACCATCGTTTGCATCCGGATTGGATATCTGGAAGAACGCTCATAGAATCGGTTTACGAGATGCGGACAGCCGAGCGCTCACCAAAGAAGTAAAACGATCCATTACCTCCATGAGGCGTGCACTCTCCATGTCTAACACAAACACGGGCGACGCACTTGATGAAACCTTCCCACATACACCCGTTGCACCGGGAGTACCCGGAAGCAACGTAACACGTCAAAGGTCTAGACGTACCAAATTGAAACGGTGCATCTGCTGTGTGGGCTGTTCATCTGCACCTCCTCAGGGTGACTTGGCCGAACTGGCCGAGGCTAATCAGCAGATGGGAGACGGCCAACTGGAATGGGTCACCTTCGGAACAGTGACCTCACTAGGCACGGAACAAGTTCTTGAGGGATTAGGTCGAAGAATCCACCAAGGAGGAGGACCATTCACTCTCGCATTTCATGAGAATCTGGGAGACGAGGATCGAGTATACTACCAGATCGATGGAGAATTCTATATAATGACCAAACCACTAGAGTAATAAAGCTACCCTTCGTTGGATGCATCCCCCGTTGCATCCCCCGTTGCATCCCCCGTTGCATCCCCCGTTGCATACCCCGTTGCATACCCCTTAATTCATTCCGCTTTTGATTTCAGGTTGACCATTAGTCATTACCGAAAGATCACCTGTTTAGCAAATGGAACGGTCAAGTCTGGAGCCATATTGGAGGCGTCTTTGATCGCGTCGCACTACCAGAGCTCATCCTCCGAGTCGGTTTTGTCGCAGAAATAGGACCCCTTTTCAGGACTGTCTTTTCCCGGTTTGCCCTCCGTGAACAGGTTCCCTGGAGCTAGGAGGAGTCTGGTTCCTTTACCCCAATTATCATACCACGTGCGTGAAACGTTCGAAGCTCAGTTAGTATAGAATTTAGTCTAAAGTTTTCAGACACCTAAGAACACATACACAGCAAGGCATGCTGTACCATTCGGCGGCCTGCTTGGCGCTCTGGTTGGCGGTCTGATTAGTTGTGGTCTGATTAGTTGCGGTCTGATTAGTTGTGGTCTGGTTAGTTACGGTTTTCTCCTCATGTCCCGAATTGTCTTTGTGTAGAGTGAGTGCAGTGGAGTGGTTGGTGGGTAGTCAAGTCGTGGAAAAGCCGGGCAGTTCACTGCCAGTAGAGCAGGCAGACGCAGTGACCGAGTCGCAGATCAGCGCACGGGTGATTGTCCCAACGGGTGCGGGTGCACTCATAATGCTGGAAGCCGATGCCGCGACTATGGTCAATGTGTGTTGTCATCTCGGCTACGAGGACATTCTGAAGCTGGGTCGGGTATCTCGGTCGCTGAGACACCTGATTGTGGGAGTCCCGAAGGACGGGGCCGCCGGCGGCCGCATCCCGGTCGACCGTCTGCGGGTTATTCATAGCCAGCTGTGGCGAAGGCTTTGCATTCGGGAGAAGGTTGACGTCAGCAATTTGCGACCTAGCGACCGAGACCGCGGTCGAATCCGGTACTTGGAAGGTCGGAGCAACCAGGACCAAAGTGGTCTGGAGGACCGGAGTGATGTGGAGGACCGGAGTGGTGTGAAGGACCAGAGTGGCGTGGCGGACCGTAATGGTGTAGAGGACCCAAGTGATGCGGAGGACCGGAGTGGCGTGGAGGACCGGAGTGATGTGGAGGACCGGAGTGGTGTGGAGGACCGGAGTGGTGTGGAGGACCGGAGTGGCGTGGAGGACCGAAGTGGCGTGGAGGATCGGTGCAACTACAAGGAGCTGTATGAGGAAGCGTGCCCGACGTACTACGTGTTGGAGCTGGCTGCTCCGGGGGCGCGGCAGGAGTTCTTCATCTGCCGCAACGCGGAGGAAGTCAAGAGCACCCTCGAATCAGAGCTCGCCCACGACCAGGGTCGCATGCTGATCCAGTACCTGATCCGGCTGGGGCTCGACGTATGCGTTTACACTGGCTACCAGAGTTCGCTGCTCAGCGTCACGCCGCTGTACGAGACCCTAGTCATCAAAATCGGAGAAGACTGCGCACTCACTTTCAAGTACCTCGGCGGCATCGCGGCAGACGACGACGGCACTTCCAGCAGCACCGACACGGCCGAGGAACCGGCCGCGCATGACGAATACCATCTCGCAGTGAACAGGGAGGAGGACAACCGGGTCGACCTCTTGGAAGCCGGGTTGTTGCCCGCCCCCGACGCGGTTACGACTGACGCGGTTATGACTGACACGGTTGCGACTGGCGCAGTTACGACGGACGCGGTAACGACTGGAGTAGGTGCGGCTACGGTGGACACGGTAATGACTGGAGTAGGCGCGGCCGGTTCGGTCACGACTGGGGTGGAGGTGCAACCGTCGTTCGCAGACTACGACCGGCGCGGCCGACCGATTTGGCGGAACGTGCGGCGACCCTCGGCTGACCGGAACCATCGATTCGTGCGCAGGTTGTGCGACAATGAGCGGCAGTTGCGGGAAGATAACTTCGAGGTGTCGCACACGTTTTTTCGCGGAGGCCGCACATGCCGGTATGAGATCAACCACTGGACGCGCTTTGCGGCACCGACGAGCAACGGACTGTCGATTTGCGTCCAGTGCCCGCCGGACTTGTTTTACGACATGGTCCTGTTGCCGCTAGTGCCGCACGTGTGTGTCGACGACTTACCGCGCTTCCACCCGGCTGGCACGCCCGTCCAGCGACGCGACTCTGTAGTCGTGAACGTACCCCTCACCGTCAAAGCAGTATCTGACCGCAAATCGAACGGTTGCTTCGAGCTAGAGGTCGCACACGTTCCCACCATCAACGCGTCAGCCCCCATGTCCAACAGGACGCTCGATGTCGCCGCAGAAGAAACCATCTGGTCGCAACCACCACAGCACCGACGAGGGGCTCTTTCGCTCGAACAACCCCCCTTCCAAAACAGCACCACTTTCCACACGGACACTCTTGTCGAAGACGCAGTCACCGAAGTCCGCGACCTCGACCTGGACTTGAACCTGAACCTGGACTTGGGCCGGACGGAACCGAGGCCGGATATCGCACTCGTGGAACCCGGGATGGCGGGAAGACGAGACCGGGACGGTACGGGAGAGGCAGAGGAGGTGGTGGGAGAGGCAGAGGAGGTGGTGGGAGAGGCAGAGGAGGTGGTGGGAGAGGCAGCGGAGGACGCAATAAACAACCAGCCCATTGCTGGTCTTGGTCAAGGCCACTGGCGGAACCGACTGGAAAAGAGGCGGAAGTATAAACGGTTTAAACTGCGCATGGGAAAGAACAAACTCCCTCCCACTACCCTAGCGCCAGAGCTCGACGGCGCTAGAAATGAAGTTGGAGTCTTGGCGCCGGTTGTCTTGCTTTACTAGACCTGCTTTTCTGAACCGTCAGCAGACACTCTGAACCGTCAGGGTGGAGCCTAGCTCCGCACATTCTTCTGTTATGCTTACTGATGCAGTGGGGTCGAGGGCAGTCGGTTGGCTCATGAATGGGTTGGTGGTTTTTTTGATGAGGGACTGTCGGTGAGCGTAAAAAAAACTTTGTTCATAGCCGTATGGAGTCGAGATTGCTGCGTAACTTGGATTCCAAAATAAGCGCGAAAGAATATTACGATGCTCACCAGCTAGTGCGTGCCCTGTTTGAGAGATATGCGCGGAAGGGTGACCTTCGGGCCGGTGTGGATTTTGCTGACAAGTATGCCGAAGTGTTTGCAGAGCATGGGCAGTTTGAGTTGTGTGTAAACCTGGGGCAGCGTGTGCTTCGTCTTATGCAGACTACTGACCAGATGCCTACGGGGGAGAACATCGGAAAGCTTGCAGTACTATTTTGCTTGTGCGGCCCCAATAGCACAGATAGCAAGTACGAGTACATGAACCAGGTCATCCAATGGTCTAAAAGGAACCCCGAGGCATCCGAGGAAGAGAAGAGAGATGGAGCTCACGACCTGCACTCCATGATCGCTGACGCGTACCTGAATGAAAACAAGTTCGGTGCCTGCCAAAACCATCTGGTCTTTTGCGATGATATAGATGCCATGGTCGACCTCACCAGACGATGGCAGGAGACATGCTACCCCACCGAAAAATGGCTCATTCCTCTACGGCTGACCCTTATTTTGCTGTGCAACAAAAAGTTCCAAGTCGCCAAATCGTACCTGGACAAATGCTTCGACAGCTGGAACTCTCCAGACTGCCCTGCACCCCTGCAAATGGCTTACCTCACGTGGGCGGCTTGCCAACACAACTCCTTGGAGCTGTACGAAACTGTGAGCAGGAAGTACGCCTTAATCTTTAGACTAGATGAAGGCATTGCGAGACTCTTTGAAACGCTGCAGTCCGCCGTCTTCAAGATCCAAAAACAGCATTCCGGCATCCTAGACATGATGTCGCAGTTTCTGGCAGGCGCTCCGCCCCTTACCGCTTAAACTCCTAGTGCGTAAACCTTTGCCGCCCATCACTTTACTTTTTGAGCCCTCGGTGATGGGACAGCCTTTGGCTGTGGACCCTAGCCTGCCGCGGCCATTCTTTTTGCCATTTTTAAACCTGGGTCCCCCGGCACGGAATTCGTTCGATGGTTCAAGCCTATCTGATACTCAACAACATAGGAAAGAGGGGTAACTTCGGGACTCTTATTCGTTCCGCCGCTGCTATGGGGATTCAGGACATCTTTGTCGTCGGTGCCGAAAAATTGAGAACATTTGGCAATCAAGTATGCATTACGGCACGTATAGATTACACATGCTGGTTCCGCCAAAAGCGTTTCATATCCGTTTCCCAGAATACTCTGAGCAAATGTCGGCTGCACTACTGGAACACGTTGGTGGAACTCAAAGAATTCCTTCAATCAAGAGATATCAAAGTCGTTGGAATTGAGATTGACGACAAGAGCACTGCACTTACCGAGACTGACTTTACCAATCAGGACATTGCTTTCATGCTCGGCAATGAAGGGACCGGTATGAATGCCAAACAGAAGCAAATATGCGATTCTTTCGTTTACATTGAACACTTCAGCGGTGCTACGGCGTCTCTTAACGTGGCGGTTGCCGGGGGAATTGTTTTCCATCGGTATGCGAGTAAGCACACCCGGATAAATTTGCATGTATTTCTCCTTCAGTCCAAAACAGCAAAGCAACCCAAAAAAGAGATGGGCAAAAATACGTAGTTCAAGAATCAGTTGCCGAATTCGAAGATCTATCTCAACCCAACCGAGGCAGAGAATATCATAGACAGTAGGCCAGCGATTTGTCAAGCTGACAATATTTCTCTTTGCTTCAGTGATCCGGCGGACCTCTCTGACCTTGATTTAAGTTTTGGTGGTTTAGAGCGCAATGAAGATTAGTGCGCGCACACGTGTGCGATGCCCCAATTTTTGCGACATTGGGGCCATGTGATAGGTATAGCAGCTGCTGGACGGCTATTTGGCGCCAAGATAACTACAGGAGGACCAGGGCCACCTCTTAATGATTTCAGTGGAATATGGTCCGATTATCCCGCGCACGCTCTGAACATGCCGCCTGCCGCCCCGCCACCGCCGGTGAACGTTGCGTACCTGGATGGGACCGTTTATAACAATCCCAAGCGGTACAAAGACAATCTAGGGGGGCCAAATGGATTCAAGCCTAAAAAGGACCCAATTCCGGGACCACCGATTCCTGTGGCGGCAGGCAAACCGGTATTTGACATAGTGGTGGAGCCGGAGTACGTTCCCGATCCGTTTCCGGTACCATATCCTTATCCGGTTGAAGAGGATTATGACGATAACTTGTACCTCACGAGCGGTGACGGAGATAATGACCACGATCGCCCTCCAGCGGATCAGGGGGATCCACTACCGTCTCAGTCTCCAGGTGGACGACGAAAGAAACCCAAGTACAAGCGTACAAACTACATTGAGAGAAGTGAGCCGGAGTGGTCGTGTCCGCGTGAATATACTGAAGAGGGCCGCCGGTGCGTTCAATTCGACGTGGTCGACGTGGAGATTGGATGTGTTGACGGGTGGGAATATCGAAATGGCGAATGTATTGCTATTGACATTCAGTTACCGGAGATGGTGTGTCCTGAGGAATTCGAAAAAATTGGAGACAGATGCACTCGTAGCATTATTGCTCCAAAACAAATGATTTGTCCGGAGAACCAGATTCATACGATTCACGGATGCAAGCAGAATGTTGTGGCCGAACCTGCGATTCAGTGCATTGGTTCAACTATGTCTCAAGGAGTCTGTCAGCGCACTATTCGGATGCGCCCTGATCCGCAATGCACTCTTGGATTCAAACTAGGCGGTGATGAACGAACATGCTTCAAGGAATCAGTGACAAGCGGCCAAACAACCTGCTTGGATCAGTTTTCGTTTGATGAGCATGGGATGTGTGAAAGAATGGTGGTGGGTGACGTTTTGGCAACGTGTCCTCACGGGTACACGCGTGACAATTTCACCTGTCATAGAAAAGTTGTGCATCCAGCTCTCAGGACCTGTGACTTTGGATTGATGTCCGAAGACGGAACCTGTCTAAGTACCAAGTCTCTGGGACGGCCCATGGCTGCTTGCCCCCATGGAGCTGTACTTAATGCTTATATGAAGTGCGAAGCCACCGCAAAACACCCAATTTCTAAGTCTAAGAAGAAGAAAGAAGCTTGTGATACGGGCTTCAAACAAACTGGAGATGAGTGCGTCAAGACTTTATTTATGGAGCCGTCATACTCTTGTGATGGCGGGGCCACACTGGTGGGTTCGGAATGCGTGTCGACAATTTCTTCCGCGGTTTTGTTGTCCTGCCTCCCTGGACAGACTCTGGACGGAGATGCTTGCTACTATGATGAGGCAACTACCACCAGTACATCCTGCGCACCTGGGTTTGATTTGACATTGGACGGAAAATGCTTAAAACGGGAAGTGACGAACCCTCAGCTGGCCTGTCCTCAGGGCTATCGTCCGGGTGTGGATGCTATGTGTCATCAGATCGAGAAGATTGAGGCGACGTTGAATTGTCCAGTCACAACTAGTCTTATTCTTGAGGATGACACTTACATTTGCCATGGCATCGAGACCGTGCAGCCTGATTATACATGTCCCATTCCGGGCCTGGCTTTGGAGACCACAGCAACCGGGCCGAAATGCACTGGGTGGCAAGTCAATGAGCCGACTTTTGTTTGCGCCCCGGGATTCACTAACGAGGGGAACAAGTGTGTTAAGCTGGAGGCGGCGTCAAAACTGCCCGTGTGTCCTGCCGAGTATTCGCTTTCATTTGATTCCTGTTTGCGGGAGTTGCAGCAGCCGGCGCTATACTTTTGTCCGGACGGATACGTGCATCAGCGGAAGGCGCAGACGTGCACCCGAAAGAAATACACGGACTTGATTCCGGTGTGTCCGACGGATATGGAGTACGACAAACTGGTCGGCGAATGCTACCGGTTGAAGACTGACTACGAATTCGACGAGCCGCTGAAGACTGGCGGTGATCCCCCCGACGAGGCCCTGAAGGACTTAGACGTGACCACGCCGTCGCCTTCCACGGAGGAGACTACACTGGCACCGGCGGCCGAGGGTCCGATGGGCGGCTACCCACCGCTGCCGCCGATGGCTGGGTACCCTCCGATTGGGCACCATCATCTCGCTGCAGCTTTACCTCCTCCGCAGTTGACTATTGTTCAGCAACCCGTGGTGGTCCCCCAGCCGGCAGTGATATTACCTCAGCAAGCGCCTGTACCCCCGCCGCCAGCAATTCGAGTGCCTTACGGTGTTCCGCAGCCCGTGCCTACGCCGGTGCGTCCGCTGGAGCACCACAAGGTCATCAACCAGAGTATGAGTACTGTTATCAATCCATCCATGTATGGCAGTGCTGGTGGGAAGAAGCATGCGTGACCACCGTAACGAGCGTGCACTTGAAGACGCTCAGTACTCGAAGTGGGCCACGCCCTCTACCTTGTATTTTTCGCAATGCTTACAGACGTATACGAGTGTCATTGCTTCCCATGCCACGCGTTCGGGTAGCTGGAAATATACTGCGCCCTTCTTGGTGCAATACGGGCATATCCAGTCGTCAGCTCGGGGCAGCGTGGGGTCTCGGACCAGGCCCGGGTAAACATATTTCTTGACATCTTCCCTGAGACACATGGGCTGGTACAGGCGCAGTTGAGTGGAGGAGGCCGGTGAGGTGGACTTACGCTGAGTGAAGGTTGACGGTGATGGTTTCGACGAAGTGGGCCTGCTCGTCCTCAGGGTCCACGCCTTGGACAGATTCGCAGGTGCGGCACACAAGCATAAGCATTTTCGCTTGTTTGTCTTCTTCTGGTTGCAAAACGTTACGGCTACAAAGTGATTGTTTCAAGGGGCCCAGTTGTGGAAGGCGGAGGGAACTCGACTAACCATTCTTTGCAGAACCGAATTTCAGACATGTTTTTTGTTTACAAAATATAAGGGAAAATGGCCTTGCGTTCACTAAAGTCGAAGTGTTCATTATTGGACTAACTCAGCTGGGGATGGGAATGAGTGTGTGTCGGCTAAGGGGCGATGAGATTGAATTAAGGGGGAGGTGGCGGTACCGAGGATAGTCCTTGAATTCGTGTCTGTATTTTCTATGCTTTTTGAGTGCCCACTGCATCATTTGCAGAGAAGCTACGACGAGGAACACCCAAGCAGTAAGGCAATTGATAAGTACGGCGAAAGTGATCCAGGACGCGATCTCCCATGTGTAGTTGGCCAGAGATACCTGGTTAAAGCCCCATCCGTAGGGTATGGCACGTTCCTTGGAGTTTCGCGGTCTTAGGTTCCTTAGAATGACATGTGTCTGAAAATTACAGTACTCAAAGATCAGCATGATGGCGAACAAAACATACGCCAGCGGGCTGCCCGACGGGGTGTGCGACTTGCGGAACCATATGCCCTCCTCGGTTCCTAGCTTGTAGTCGAAAGGCCCTTTATAAAGGGGATGGAAGAGGTAATAGGATACAGCGACTCCACAGAGAACCCAGTAGTGCAAACAGTTGATGGGGACCCGTATTATTGGCATGGTTCCATGAGAGAATCTGTGGATAAACAACGTCTCCAATTCTCTCTTAACAAAATGAATCATCAATAACCAAAAGGCCAACCTGAAAGAATGTCATTGGCTATTCCAGAGACCAGTCCCACGGATCCAGTCCTTACTGTTGTGTGAGAGTAGCGTGAAGGTGGCACTGATAGACAGCGAAGTAGAAGAGAGGTACTATGAAGATGGGTCCAGCATATTCGATAACAAATACCAACCGCCAGCTAATTTGGACTCCGAGGTCTTTGAAAAGTAAAACGGAATTTTCGCTGATACCTTGACCGCTGAGCGGCCCGTCATTCAACACGACTCCATCCGCTGCAGAGAGAGGGTCATCAACTAGCCGCGAACCCATCGGGGGATTAATCCATTAGGTGATTAACCCCGTTTGGGGTCAATTCACTCACTTTTGGTCCATCTCTGTCGTTCCGGGTAGTAATGGCATTTTTCGTCGAAGGCCTTCTGTAAATCCTCTAAAGTGGCCTTGTTGTCGAGTTCCAGAGCGCAGACGTGCTTCCCGTTCCGCCGCTCCACCTGAACTTTCATTTCAAATTTTGCTTTGTTCAAAAAAAGGTTGGGAGTCTACTATATACCGGAAATCTGAGAAAGTAAAGAATTAAAGGCACTGGAACGCTGGGATTGAGAAGCGTCAGAGGGAAGGAGGCCAGCTTACGGTTTTCGAGTTCTTTGATCGCGGGGTTGTCTTTGTTTTGGGTCGACTGTACATAGCGTCGTCCACATTGGTAGAGTATTTCAGAGTCTTGGGGATTTGGATTGCCTGCCTGAATGTAGGCCTTCATGATGCCACACAAGGCTTTGATTCTTTCAGCACAGGTGCAGGGGAGCATGACCTCACACCAGGACCTTATGATAGGTGCCAGCAAAGGGCCCACTTCTGCTGGGCATTTTTCTCCGAAGCGGCCAATAGTGATGCAGGCGTTCTGCCGTAAGGAAGGGTTGGCGCTTTCTTTCTCAGCGACGTTGAAGAGATTCTTGAGTATTTTATTTAGGTGCGGCTTCAAAATCTCAGGGTCGATTCCGTCAACCATTTGTCCCAAGGCCCAGGAGGCGTTGGAAGATACAGCCCATAATTGATGGAGCAACTGGTCAGCTAAAGTGGGTAGAATCTGAGGCAGAATCGGAGCCATGAATGGAAGACAGTTACAAGACATGTCTCCGATAAAAGCAAATAAGGTCTGCTTCACAGCAGCGAACTGAAGCACGTCCGAGTCCGTACAGCACACCGTTACTATTTCCAGGATCTTGGTGTTATGGAATATCGCGGCGGACTGCGGTCCCGCTGCATTGCACACTGCCGAGAGCAGATCGAAACACGTCTCCACCACCGCCGTAGATCGATGCGTCTTATCCGTCTTAATCTTCAATAACTGGTGCTCAATAAACGTCAGCGACTGGTCCACCAGGACCTTCGACATAGGGAGAACTACAGGACCCAAAACATGCGTTAAATTGAGCATGCATTCGCAACAACTTCCCGACTCGTAGCTCTCCGGATTCAGCGAAGACCACTTCTCGAACAACGGTGCAAACAACACCTGCGTTACACTAGCCGGGTGCGCCTCCGCGATGCCAGAACCTACCGACATCGCCAGACATCCTATGGCGTCGAACAACAACGCCATGTTTTTCGTTTGGTACAATCTCAAACACTGTGCAAAGCACTCATACATCGTGGGCAAAAAGGGAATCAAAGCATCCTTGGCCGATTCTTCCATCACGGCAACGGCGCTGCACGCAGCTTCCTGAACACCCTTGTTCCTATCCACCATTCTGACTAGGAGCTAAGAGGAGAAAGAATGTAAGCGCGAACTAAAACACGTGTGCTCAAACACGTTTGCGCGCAAATATGTGCGGCTGAGTAATTGTGTGCTTACCGCCATGACAACAGTTTCGAGATATCGGGGAGAGTTCTCGGGGCGGCAGTACCAGCCGGCGTATCTCCCTATGCACCAGCAGGAGATGCTTCGCAGTAAAGGCTTTTTGTCCGAGCTGAGTTTAACGAGCAGTTCGAGCACTTTCGGCACGAACTGATCAAGCTTGGGAAGGCAGCCCTGTGCAATGGCTCCGAGAATGAGGACACCACTCTCTCTCTCTTCCCAGGAGCCGGTGTTGTTTAGTTTCAGTTCAATCGCCTGTAGACAGACGGGCAGGATTGAGTCGGGGCAATAGACGGCGAGTGTATCGATGGCCAAACCGGCAGCCTTTCGTACCGTCCAATGGTTGCCCCAGGCGGCATATTCCTCCTCGTCGTCGTCCGGGTCCTCCGGTCTAGAGCGTTGCCATGGGGCCATATTGGTGAAGTCGGGTACCTCCGCATTATCATCTTCAGTTACTCCTGGTTCCATATCCGCAAAGTCGCGGTCTGAGTACTTGGTTTGCTCCACTAAAATGGCGACCAACCGAGGAGCAAAGGGCTCTAGTAACCGCGGGGCAGTCGACTCCCGGATAAACTCCGGCCAAAAATTCAGTGCCGCCAGACGGACGTAATAATCAGGGTCACCCGAACACGTCACAAAGAACTCCAGGATTATATTGGCATTCTCCATGATCTTCTACACGCGCGCAGCAATAAGCGAGAGGGATGGGCAAGAAAGAGGGACGAGGGGATGAGAGAGAGCTTACTTCGACGTCATATTCCAAGACGGCACTGAAAGATTTGACCACGGCCAGTTTATTGGCAGGATTTGGGTTTAGCGCGGCTCTGCCCAGTGTGTCCCAGAACTGGGGGAAGTACGTGTCTGCGAATTCGGATTTTGCAAACGCGTGTCTGCTGCTATATAGTTCGAGTATTTCCAGGGCGAAAGTCTTGAGGACGTCGTGGACTCCGTCGTTATTGGCGAGTCGGAATAGCATGGGCAAGAAGTGCTGGTTGCTCATGAGCATAAAGGCCGTATCGTTCGATTCGTACGACATGCTCTCGAGCTCATCTTCGGCAATCTTCTTGAATGTTTCCAGAATCGTAGCGGCTATGTCTATGTTCGGCGCGGTTTCCACGTTCAAGGTTGCTAACGCTTCGGGCCACTTGTCGCAGCCCACCTTGGTGAGGATGGCAGTTACGATACTGCCCGCTGTCGACCGGACGACCTTGGAGGGGTCGCCCAGCGACGCCAATACAACCTTCTTTGCGTATTCAGCGGCAGCCGGCTTAACCGCAGACGAGTTTATCATGACGTTCTTCAGCAACAGCCCCGCCACCTGCCGCGTCTCCTCCGACTCCGTCTGCGCATTAGCAAACACCGTCGCCAAAATGGCCACACCCTCCGGCAGGTTCATCAACATCTGCACGGCTTCGCTCAGCCGCTGTTGCACGCCTGGGGCCGTGTTCTGTGCATTCCGTAATAATTCTGATACTTCTAAGAGCACCTTCTGATCGGGCACCCACTCCATTGAATATTATTTAAGTCACGCTCGGTGCGGCCGCGAACCTTCCCAAAAAACCGTTTGGTCGTCGCTTGCGCTTTTTTGGGCCCGCGAGGTTTTTTAAGGCGGACAAAATGGTGAAATACATCCGCAAGGTCAACGAGGAGGTGGACAAGAGTAGGCTCTAAGCGCACGTCCCGCACCCAGCACACATTCACGTTGAGGGCACGCCAGGTGGGTGTGCCAAGCCAACACGTCAAGTGTCTCCAGCACGAGGCCGGCACGAGCCACTGTACTCGGCACAGGGCGTAGCCGGGGACGCAGGCAGGACACACGTAACTCAGGGGAGCAGTATACACAACATATTTCAGGCGTGTGTGCACGTGGTAACGACCTCCGCGTCTCCTTCAAGAACACCCGCGAGACGGGCGCAGCCATCCAGGGCATGACCGTGGAGAAGGCCCGCGCCTACCTCGACGCTGTCCTGGAGCACAAGCGTTGCATCCCCTTCCGCCGTTTCAACGGTGGCGTCGGCAGAACTGCCCAGGCCAAGGAATTCGGCGTCGTCAGCGGCCGCTGGCCCGAGAAGAGCGTGAAGGTCTTCCTCAACCTCCTCGACAACATCGAAGCCAACGCTCGCAACAAGGAGCTCGACACCTCCAAGCTCTACATATGGCACTGCGCCGTCCAGCGAGCCATGAAGGGCCGCAGACGCACCTACAGGGCTCACGGACGCATCAACCCATTCATGTCCAACCCTTGCCACGTTGAACTCGTCTGCAAACTCAAGCAGGCCCCGGTCCCCAAACCCCCCACGGACAGCGACCACAGTGTCACCGCCATGGCCAACACCAACACCCGTGAGCTCCGCATGGCCTTCTAAGTTTTTTTACGCCGCGATGACCTTGCACCAAGTACCAAAAACCACTCACTCAATTCGCTGGGACTCAGCCAGCAGCTTAACTACATTTCATTCGGCAAACCTAACTTGAAAACCCTCGTTAGTGCACCTGCGGAACATACACCGGCTGCGATGAGTGACCCTGCAGCTTTAGTGCCTCGTACTGGTGCGCCTGAGCCACGGCATTGGGGCCAGTAAACGTCTGAATCGGAACGAAATTCTCTTTCCCGTTGGGCGGTAACTGCACCTTGGCCTTGACCGTGGCCGTGGTCGTAGTGGTGGTTGTCGTCGTCGACACATTAACTTCCATGGGCAGCAGGGACTCATCCGGCTTGTCAGTAGTGCTCGGGTGGGTATTGTTTGACCCCGCCGGCGCACCCGGCGGAGCTCCCGAAGGAGACCCAGACGGACTGCCGCCAGTCGGGTGCTCATCGTCGCTCGTCGGGTTGCTGTCGCCGACCTGCGGAGGAGCCTCGAATGTGTAGCACTCCTTCACCTTCCCATCCCACATCCAACCACTGCACTCAATCACCGGCTGGGACCACAGGAACTTCTTGCAAACTCGGGAGCCCGGCTCGTAGGTGTAGGCCTCCGGACACAGCACCGCGGGAGGCTGCTCTCTGTCCGTCACACAAGAACTGCCCTTCAGCAACGCGTTGTCGCAGTAGGGCTCCAACAACTGCTTCTCGACCACAATGCACACACCGTCGCGCTGAATAAACGGCGCCTCACACACCACCTTGCCCGGAACAGTCGCCTTGCCACGGCAGACGCCCTCGGAGATCACAAAGTCCGTCGGACAGGAAGGATGCGCCTCCTCGTACACGATTTCCTCGCAATAGTGATCCAGACCCGTTCGGACCTTCCTCGTTCCCGGCGGGCAGCTCTTCTCCACAGGCATCACTTCGGCGACAATGCACACTTTCTGGTTCTCGTCGTAGAAGCCCTGGGCGCACTGATGCTCCGCAAGCAACTTGTTAGAGAACAAGCATTCCTCACTGTCCTCCAGCAGGATGTATGGGGGCTCGCACACTAGCGACATCGGCAGCCGGGTCTCCATCACACACTCATCGTTATTCAGCCGCTTGGTACCCTCAGGGCACACTCGCAGCGGGTCAAAATACTCCGTAGCCGCACAATGATTGCCCACAAGGCTCATGCCCTGCGGACACACCAGTTCCCTGTGCAACACGGATCGCTTAACACAGCTCTCCTTGCCCCTAAACGTCCAGCCCCCTGGGCACTGCTTCATTGGCGGCTCCTTGGTCTTGCATCTGCCGTCCTTGTCCGGCTTACTCCCACTCAAAGGACAGACCAAAGAAATTGGCTGAATCTCCTCCTTGATACAGACCTCGTCGGCTTCTTCCGTGCCTGCGGGGCACAGGGGAGCTGCGGACTGCGTCATTGTCCTTCGGCATTTCGCGCCATCCGGAACAGAACTGAAAGCTCATCAAACATTTCTAAACAAACTGACTTACTTGTTGGGACATACAAGCGGTACCGGGAATATCGACGAGCCCAGGCACGTATTGTCGGCAGTAACCTTGCCTTCTAAACATCGCTTTCGAGCGGGTTGCCTGAGCAGCTTCACACATTCTTCGCCGTCAAGGTCATATCCTAAAGGACACTTGAGGAGTGACGACTCATGCTTCTGCCTCAAGCACTTTTCGTCTACAATGTCGAACCCTGATGCGCATTTCCGCGTCTCAACATGCAGCCGCGAAATCTCGCACGTGGAGCCATTCAGATTTCCCTCATCACAAGACCACCTAGGTTCGGTCTCCACTTCTTTCACGCAGCCCGTGGGCGTCGCAACATAAAACTCCGGACAAAGGAGATTCATGGGGGCATCGTACTCGCGCACACATCCAGAGGAGGTTCGCTCGAACCCACTGGGGCATCCCAATTTCGCGGGCTCAACAACAGCGGTCTTACAGACCCCATCAGTCAACTCCCATCCGTTGGGGCACCCAATACTAGCTTCGACGGAATCGATTTTCTCGCACCTTCCATTGGCCGGATTCAGATCGAACCCCTCAATGCACAATAACGCAGGGGGCCTGTGTCTAAACTTATGCGGTTTGCGAGCCTGGTTGCCGCCAACGAGTAGTGTTTGAGAAGTGGGAGCGGGAGAAGCAGCAGGCGCGCTCACTGGTGCGGGATCTGCCGGCGGTGGCGGCGGCGCAGCTTCTGCCTGGTTAGAGAGTACCACTGAGCTCGGTAGATAATGAGAACGACACAGAATTTACCTGAAAGCGTAAATAATCCGATATGAAGGTTCCGATAGTTCATCTAGGTGGTCTTAGGGCATTCGCCAGAAAGGTGCGCGGCGTGTGTGCTGTGTTCGATAGCGCCATTTCGCGCAAATAATTTGCCGGATATAAATTAATGTTGCAGTTTAGAACATATATACCTCAAGACCCTGGCCTGCGGCGCTATTGTAAGCCAGATGATGCTGAACACCAGCTGAAAAATGTAATAGATAGCGAAATAGAGCATGCCCTGGAAGAGGCTGACAATCAGGTAAACACCGCCATCATGACATAATATCTTGCGTTTAGGACTTTTATAAGCTCATCAAGCCCGCCGCCGAGAACGCGGACTTGAAGCGGGACTTGAAGGCCGCACTGAAGAGTTTAGACGGCAAGACTCAAAAAAAGCTCCAACAATTGCGGCGCGCAGCATCCTAGCAATTAGCGGTCTTACATTTCCTCAACCATGCGGCGAACCTTCCGCTTAAAGTCTCTGGGGTTCTCCCGCAACAATTTCTGAAAGGAAGCCAGATAGTAGCTTGGATAGGTCGGAGGAGATGTACAGAATGTAAATGTATAGATCGCCATAGAGAACGTGCCTTACGGCTGCGTGCCTTCAGGCTACGTGCCTTCAGGCTGCGTGTCTTATGGCTACGTGCCTTCAGGCTGCGTGCCTTACGGCTAGGTGCCTTGCGGCTGGCTTACGGCTGCGTCAACATTAGCGGGGCTGTCTAAATTGGGTTCTCCGAGCATCGAAATTACGGACATCAAAATGGCTTCAACTGAAATGATAGGTCTCCAGCGCTCTTCAGGAAGTTCCTGTTCGTTCGTTTCGTCAAAGCCCGGCGCATGCAGGATTGATATGCAAACCAAACCGTCAGGGAAGACTAAAAGGAAACATGTCGCGTATGGGGGAGAGTAATTTACTGTTCGGGTGAAAGATCGGGGTCTCAAACTTCATCTTGGGAGGGTTGTTGGGAAAGTCATCCGGAAACGTGAGAATCGCTGAAAATAATCCCCCTTCATATGGACTATCCGGTGGGCCTGTAAGTGCCACTCTCCAAGTTTGCCAGTTGTCATTTTCTAGCCCGACGGAGCAACCTTCAGCATCTCCGCTTTGTTGTAATTCTAAAGCAAACCAATCAAGCAGCGATACCATCCGGCGATCAGTACACTGTGTTAGCGACCGGCGCACTGTGTTGGGTGTACGGGTAGATGTCCATAGTACCCTCAAATTGCTTTTTGAGTAACAGCTGACCAGTGTTCATCAATTTAATACGAAAAAGCAGTGTGACCCATAAGCCGGTCGCCAAACAACGTCGTGCCGAAAGACGTGCCAAAGGACGTCCCGGGGTACCGGACCAGCCCCCCAAACTCGGCAGAAGGCTTGCCCACATTGCGGTACCCATAGAAGCCCGGTGCGTATTCCGGAACCATATCGTCCGCTGCACCCACCGGAGGCTGCGGCCCGTATTGGAACGCGTTTGGCAATCCGTTGATGGCCCTGTAAAAGGGCGACGAATAGGTGAAGGGGCTGAAAGGGATCCCCAGGTCGCCGAGCCGGGGCAACGGTCGAGACAAAGTGCCGTCCAGAATCTCCTCCTTCACATACTTCATTGCAACTTCGCTCCCGGCTGGCGCCCCTCCGACTGGACTACTGCGATCGGCCGGCCCGGATGGCTTTCTCGACGATCCCCCGGGCGGTCCTGCGGTGATTGCCCCGGGCGGGCCAGCAGGTCTGGGCGCTCCTCCGGACGCACCGGGTCTGATTCCTGTGGGGGGTTTCGCCCTGGGTGCTCCGGAAGGCAGACCGCCTCCGCCGGAGACGGATGGCGGGACAGCTGGAACTGAGGGAGGCATCGCGGGCGCGAGCGACCTAAAACAACCTTGTTGGCTACAGGCAGTGCGCATTACCTTGTCGATGCTGCTCTGTCCCGCAACGGTGGCAGTGCCTTCAACGGCGGCAGCACCCGCCCAGATGATTCAGCAACTTCCCCTGCAGATTCCCGTTGAAGTTCCCGCGCCACCGGTGACCCTGTAGCAAAAACGGAAGTAGCGAAAAAGGAAGTGATGAAAGGTAAATAGGCATAAAAATTAATTACCTGAGAAAAGGCTGCTGCCGACCTCCCGGACCGCCTCGCCAGCGCTGCCCAAGACGTTGCCTGCCACTCCCGCGACGCCCTCACCCAGTTCCTTCGCTTGAGTCAGGGCCTCGTCCACGTCTGCCGAAATCGTGCTCTTGACTTCCTCCAGTTCCTCGGAGTTCGCCTCCTCCCGCGCGGCCTCCGATGCGTTCTCCGTCGGGACCAAGACCACCTCCGTCGCGTCCGCTGGCGCCGCTGTCGGAACTACGACCATCGCCGCCGAACCCTGTTGGTCGGTCGAGTCCGCTTTACGGGCCGCGTCCGCCTTCGGGGCCGCGTCCACCGTTGGGGTCGAAGCCGTTTCTGGTGCCGCGTCCACCGTTGGGGTCGAAGCCGTTTCTGGTGCCGCGCCCTGCAAAAACTTGAACTGCACCAGTCGGTCTGCGGCGTCCATGGCTCCGTCCTTCGCCTTGGCCGCCTCCTCAGCCATTGAGTCGCCTGCGTCCTCTACTTCGTCTCTGACACGCTCCGCCGCCTCCTCGGCCCCGGTCATGGCCTCACTCACGGCCTCGCTCGCCACCTCACTGACGTCAGTCATTTCCGTAGTGTCTTCAGTCACAGGCACCACCTCCACCACGGTCTCGGAACCGGTAACGGCCTCGTCCATCCCCTGCAGGTCTTTAGTCTCGTCGACCGCGGTCTCGGTTTCTATCTCCTCGGTTTCCTCTGTCTCTTCCTCTTCTGCAGGATCGGAGGTGTCTTCCGTCTCCTCCTCCTCGGCCGGTTCAGAGGATTCCTCAGCAAGCGGTGCTTCCTCGTCGGCGGTCAGGTCTTCCTCATCAGGCTCTTCGTCGAGACCCGTCAGGTTCTTGTTGGTACTGACGACCGCATTAACTCCGTTCTGGACGGACTGTCCGGCTTGCGTGATGGCGTCGTCGAGCTGCGGCTGTTCCGTCGAAAACTCCTCCACGGCGTCCGTGAGGGCGCTGGAAATCAATTCGTCGACTTCCGTTTGCTCGTCTGATTCTGTCTGCTCGGCGTCCTCCGCCTTGCCTTCCTCCGTCTCCTCAGTGTCGGCGGCGGTGGCTAGTACGTCGCCAAGCTCCTCTTCCTCGGTCGCCTGTTGCTCAGCCAGGTGGCTTCCGGAGAGGACTTCAATGGCATCCAGCAATTTCTTGGTGTCGTCCTTGCTCAGTTTGTCGTCACCTTCAGCGTCTGTGCTGTATTCGTCTTTGAGCATCTTGAGCAAATCTTGCGCGCTGCCCAGCTTCTTTTTGAGGACGGAGGTGAGTCCGGAGAGCTGGGTCTTGACGTCGCCGTTACCCTCGCCCGCGGAAGTAGACGCACCAAGCGTCTGTTTGATTCCGTCGATGAGCTTCTTGAGCTTGTCCGCCGCGGTGTTGCCAGTGGACTTGGCCTTCTTGAGTGCAGACTTGAGGGTTTCTTTCTGAATGCCCGTTGCGGAGGAAATTTGGCTGATGATGCTGTTTTCCACGGTCTGGTTGATCAGCTTACTGCCCATACTGCTCAGCGAGGACGTGCTGCTGCCGCCGGCGGGACTCGAACCACCGAGGGCGTTCTTGGCCTGAGTGGCGGTGCTCAGAATGTCGTCAAACACACCCTGTAGCTCCTTCTCCAAGTCCGCATCATCCCGATCGAGGTTCTGGCCGCCGCTCTCGCCGCCCACATCCTCGTCATCAATGGCTTGGAGCCGACGGCGAGAAACCGATAGACTGTTTGCTTGTTGAAGCTCTTTGGTGAAGTCCGAAATGCTCCTGGACAAGTCGTCTTTGAGTTTCTTCAAGGCCGTTCCGATCTCCTTCTTGCTCTTGCTGTTGGGCAGCTTCTCGAACATGTCCTCAATCGAGGCCAGACCACCCAACCTGTGGTTCAGAGAGTGGATTGCCTGGTCCAACGGCAGCTCCTTGTTGGCGGCGACGTTTCGAATAACTGTCCAAAGACCACTGCCCAGACTGGGAGCCAAATACTCTCGAGCCAAGAAGCCAGTAAACATGTCCTCCAAAATGGCAGTCTCATAGTTCTCCAAGGCACCCATAAGCTTCTTCTTCACATCTTTGCCAACACCAGCTTCGTTAATCAGCTTCTCTATAGCCTTCTTGGCAGTATCGGCATTAGTAAGGATCTTATCCAACTTACCGCCACCGATATTGAGCAAGTCAAACCAAGAGTTGGTCTTGCGTCCGAACACCATGTTCAGACCGTCGCCCACAAGGTTGGCTTGTAGGCCTGTAACGCGGCTGCCCGGGATGCGGTGATCCGCGTATTGGTTGGACGGCGAATGGCGGTTCTTGGCGTCATGCTTGCCCCAACTGAAACCGAAAATGCTTTTCTTCTCTTCGTCGGGGTGTACGCTATGAATATCAGGTACATGGGGAACAGGGTTGAAATGGCCACCCTCAAACAGCCAAGGCACCGTGTGACTGGTAGAAGCATCTTCTCCTTTGTTGTTCAAAGTTCTGATCTGGTTCGTTATATCCAGGAACTTATCATTCCAAGCAGTCTGGCTGTTGGCAAAGGCCAGAATGACTTTGTTCAAAGCTTCGGTCTGAACGTCACTGGTGGCGAATGCACAGATCGACAAAACAGAAAGTTTCCTCATGTTCATGCACCTCACATGCGAGATCCACTTTACCTCGAACGACGCACCCTACTCTTATTGCGCCATCTAGCATCGCTAGCTGTCTGGCATCCGCCGCATGTATTACCTGACCATTGTCTGGATGTTGGGCGCCTCGGTCTTGTATTCAATCGTGCATGATGCCCCATCACTTGACACTGAACCGTCCTAGAGACCCCTGTACACGTCATAAATTAGAACTACTATCACAAATGCGCTTCTCGCTCTATTTACAGGGCAAGAAGCGCATGGCACCTGGTACATGAAAACTGATGGCGGGATATCGTGGCGTTAATCGCGACAGTGTCGTTGACGGTATGCTGGATTAAATTAAGGTGACCGCACACGCGTGTGCAAGGTTTATGGAGCGCCTGAACGACTCATCTGATGACGCTTTGGCTTCGTCGTTGTTTCGGGGAACCTTAACAGCGCTAGAATTGCAATCTTTGGAGTCACAGTTGCGGGAAGCGCGTCGGAATGATGACGTTGTTTCGATTTATACGGCAGATGTGATTAATGACATCACGGGAGACCAAGATGTGCCTGTCCTGCCTGGTGAGTGAGGGCGAAGAGCGCAGACCGACTTGTCCCCGATAGACGTAAACATGTTGTTATGGCGGTCGCAGGGTGCGGAGGCGGCCTGCGCAGTTTCTGACGAGTGCATTGTAATACGGATGACGAAGTTGCAATTACCTTGGATAGTTGGTTACAGGTTGTGCACGGAGGTCAGCCACCACGTGCAAATTGCGGCCGTAACAAAGGGCAGCTGCGCTATCAAAACGATCGACGTAAGGGAGCAAGTGCCGGAAATAAAGAAGGGTAGGAAGTTGTATTTCGACGTCCTTCTAGATGAGGCCTGGGTACTTCCGGTCTCCGACTGTCTGGGAGGGGTCGGAACGATACTAGAAGTGGTGATCGGTGACCAACAGTGGTCTACGGAGTCTCTGGATTTGCCAAATGCCCCATATCCGAACCCATGTCCACGATCCGTGTGGTTCAAAGACATACGCACCTCCCCCCCCTTTGGACGAGCGCCACTCACCTCGGTGGGCCACGGCGCTTCTGGTTCTATCTATTTCACCTTCCACTATGTCCGTGGAATCGGTGGTCGTGCTAGCAGCGGTCGTAACGGGAGTCCGGTTACCAGCTGCCGTGGAGCTACTGGGCATGGAGTTATGGGTCACGGCTGTAAGTCCCAGCAGCTTCGCTGCGCGGTCCGGAAAGGAGCCCACAAAAGTTCCCACTTGGATAAACTGCTCAAGAAACTGTGGTGGGACATGGCACCCCCAAGCCAAGGCCAACTGGAGACCGAAGAATGGCTTTCCCAGGTTCCTGAAGGTCTCTCTGCTGTTGATTTCTTCCTAAGCCGACCCTCGTCCAACTGCCTCTGGTCATGGGCCCGCGGCAAATGGAAACAGGGACACGTCAGTCAACCTGCGGGGATCTTGACTCTTATTGTCAAATTCCTAAATTGATCCGACCGGTCGATCGGCAAATGCATTCCAGCCGGCACGGTGTAGTCCCGTCCAAACGAGTGGGTCCAAGCGAGTCGATGCCGTCCAAAGCTGGAAAGAGACTCTTCCAGAAGTCCAGCACACTCCTAAGTTGCCGACAGTCTCACTGTTGTCATCTGTGGCAAACATTTTCGACCGAGCAGTGTCCCTAAATCGAGTACCCTGACATAATAGTTAAGACCCTGACCGAACAAAATCTTCCGCATATACAGGCCCACACACTACAACACCCTCTGTACGTACACATCCTCGGAGCCGCGAATCCAACCGCCGTACATTGCGTGGTTTCTTGGCCACCGTAAGTTGTGGGTTGCCGTAGGTTGCGGCCACCGTAGGTTGTGGTCTGAGTTCGCCTTTCTAACTGCCTTGGCAAATCTTTATCACGGCTTCAAGACGGCTCTTCTGTTTATATTTTTGGGCTGGTGAGGTCGCCCATGCTTTCAAGAAATGAGATCTTCTTCATTTAGTTTGTAAACCTCCACCCCATCTTCCGAAGGGAGCTCGGATGCTTCCCACCGCGTAAAGTCTTGGGGCTGGTCCAATGCGACAACCAATTGACTCAGTAGCGACGACCGAGATAATATGGCGATCTAACGTTGAGTAATATACCGTAATGCAAACCGTAAGGTAAAACGAGTGTGGAATAAATGTGGGATAAAAGGGGGGAGATAGAGTGTGCTGTCGGTACCCTTACGACGGGCCGCTGGAGGTTACTGTAGAGTGGCAGGGCGGGTGGCATGGAAGGTGGCAATATTTGGTGTAGTACGGAGATGTGTACCTTCTTTAAGGTTTTCTTGTGGCTGGAGAGGAACTTGGCGAATTTTTCATTTTCTCGTACGAGTCCGAGGAATATGGTGGTGCATGCGTAGAGGATGTCTTCTAGTACGTCAAGGTTAGTTTCGTCCACCTTTTGGTCGTACGTGTCCATAGGTCCAGTGGGTTTGGGGACGGGAGGTCCGAGTGTGGGTGCGATTGTATCGCTGAGTATAGTGTCCAAATCGTCTTCTTTGAAAGCGGGTGAGGGTTGCGAGCGGTCCACTTGATAGCCTCGCTGTTTGATGAGTTGTACAGCACGATCTCGCACGTTCTCTGGGACACATTCCAACAGTGTTTTGATCACAACCTCGTCTCCGGAGACCACAGGCGGAGAGGGAGCATTCACCAAGCCGTGCTGTCTAGCAATCGCCACCGCGGCCCCGAATGCACAAAACAGTAGTCCGTACCATACCCGTTTCGCGCGGTGTTCCGGATAACCCTCCAACTCTTCCATGCCGATCAAAGTCAGAACCACAGCGGACTTGGTACTGTTAATCTCAACCGGAAGCCCTCCACACTGCGGGGCCATCGCATCCAGCATTCGGGCGTCCGTCGGCGCGACCGAAGGGAACAACTCCGAGGTAACGAAACGTCCAAAAAGCAACATCACATCCGCCGCTATTTCGCACAATGTCTCCAGAAACTCGCGGTCACTCGTCGCAGTCCCCGACTCCGTCGCCGTCCCAGTCGTCGTCATCCGAGACGCCGCGGTTCCAGTTGTGGATAGCTGGAGTGCGGCGGCAAACGTTCTGGTCCCTAGAGAGAGATGGTCTCGGCCGAAGTCTAGGAGTATGTTCAGGAAGTGGAGTCCAGTGCTTTTGTACAGCGCTGGGAGGTAGTGTGTGCCCAGGGCGTACTGCTCCGGTTGGTAGGTCAAGAGCGGGGTGGTCCAGGCATGCTTGAACGCAGAAATCAGTTTCAGGCGCAGCTCTTCGTGCGCCCCCACCTGCAATAGAATACTAGCTAATCTAACCAAGGCTGCGACCAAGACGTTGCCCAAACCGACGACTGGGTGGACGCAACACAAATCTTCACGCTCCAGCCTCTGCTCTAACTGCAGCCGGCCATTGTTGCTGGCCACCTCCACCCCCATGGCAGTCGAGCTCGGGTTGGACATGCGCCGGTTCTCGCGCCAAACCAAGAACTCGGCTTCCTTGATGCTTTCGAGAAACGTCTCGCGTAGCTCCGAGTCGACAAACACGGACGCGGCAAGCTTGTCCCAGGCCTCTGCGGTCAAGAAGATTGAGGACCCGTCGTCGTTCACCAAACTTCGAGGCCCCTCCGCCCCACGGCCTTGTGGAAACTCACCCCCCGTCACGTCGGAGCCCGCCATGGCGGAGCCCCCCACCGCAGAGGGGCCTCCCGTGGAAGATGCCTTTTCTCGCGCCATCCGGTCGGTGCTGTCTTGCGGCGCCGGGGGTTCCGGTATGAGAGCGTGGTCGGGGTGGATGGGGAAGGCGGGTGGATCGGTGAGGGTGTGGTCGTCGCTTTCTTCGAGTTGGGCGAGTCGTTCGGCCTCATCGGCAGCGGCGATGAAGAGTGGGAGCCAAACGTCTGTGAGTCGGAGAGTGGCCTTCACCAATCGGTAGAAGATAGTAGGGGTGGCAGCGGGTTTCATGAGACTGAGGTCAAGCGAGTCCTGGAGTGTGTCCACGAAGTCGCCCATGGACAGGACGGGTACCAGACGGGGGCGGCCAACGCCACGGGGTTGTGGTGGTGGGGGGTTGGCGACAATGACAGAGGGTAATTTTTTCCGTCGTTCTTTGGGGACGACATTGAGCGCTTCTTCGGGCACTTTCGGTTTCTCAAAAACCCCGCAGATCCAGCGGATGTACACCCAGGTCTGCAGCAACTCACTGAGTGTCGTCAGCGTCTCAAACGTCAACCGCTTCGCGTCCAGTGCCTGTAATAAAGCCGGGCCACCACCTTGTCCCTCCAGCCATGTCCGCTCGCCGGTGCACCAGAACTGACTCAACAAGACTTCCACCTCCGTCAAACGCGCCTCCAACACATTCAACGCTATATTCGGTAAGTACGCCGACGTCACCCACGAAGATTCCAGTACACGCAACTTGCTCGCTTTCTGACTACTGCTCAAACGATGCGGCACCGATGATACCAATGACTTGAACGATTCACAACCAGACGAACCTGCCTCCAGCAATTGCGCCCGTCGCTCCGTTACCGCCCTCAGGATCCTCGTCGCAGCGTCCGACACAATTTCTTCGCCACAGTTGAACTTTCCCTCCAGAGCATATATTAGTCCTTCACAATCTACCGGAACTCAGATATCACCAGCTAGACTTCACACTCTGGCATGAAAGGGTTATACCAAAGGGGTTCTCTGTCCGGTGCAACAAGGGATGGCATTAAGAGATTGCACTAAGGGGTGACATTTTGGGATGACACTAAGGGGTAAGGGGTGGTGCTAAAGGGTGACACCAAGGGGTAAGGGGTGCTACTAAAGGGTGACACCAAGGAAGGTTGTTACCATTGGGGAGAGGGATGTCATAATTCCTCTTGTTCCGTTGAGGTGGTGGCAGTTGTAGTACTTTGCTTGTTCGTTTTTGTTGGGGTCCGGCGGCTTGGGGGGAAACTCCCCCCCGGAAACTCATTGGCACGGGACTCGGCGGTCGTCTCATCTGTGGCAATCCATAGCCTCCGCCAGTAGGGTCGAAAGGCACGTAGCCATACGGGTCCATTTGAATATTCTCGGCTGACCTGCACAATTTAATACCACCGGACTCGTCAACGTCAGTCACCCCCGAACAAACCGCTGACGTGGCAAAAATACTGCTGGCAACCAGCAACGCCGACAACCGTGGAGAAATTTGCGTGCGGTCGAAACCGATTTCCGCGCGCGTGCTAAAACCCAATTGGAAGCTGCTCGGGGGGTGAATTGGTCGGAAAGTATTAAGCGCCGGGGAAGAGCGCTGGTAGTGATGGACGCTGCCCCCTGGTTGTCTTGATCGGAACACAATACCGACCAGGATTGTGTTCCCGCCGGCACGAACTTAGCTTGAGGGTAAAAAGATGGTACGATTTTGCCCGGTGTAGCAAACGTGTACCCAGCACACGAGCGTGAGTATGTGTGAGGTATATGTGAGATGGACGCATATCCCTTGGGGTAGAGGTGACATGCAGAATCTCAGGGCATGCATGAAGAATGGGCAGTTGCACATTTTACGAGATGGCAAACGACAAGCAAGCTTACAAGAACATTTTGAATTCTCTGTTCGTCAGAGATCCCAGGCTCCTGTTCCCGCCTCCACGCAGGTATGTACCTGTGTGGACCGAGGCAGGCCAGGAGCCGCTGTTCGTGGCGCTCGTGCATCAGGATTACGTTCCTCTTGCGATGGATCGCCCCGAGCAGGACAAGATGGAGACATTCGGCGAAATCGTCGACGACTTCCCCATCGACAACTGCGTCTACGTGCCTGCTGACGACGACGCGATCGTCAGCGCACAAAATGTGGCCCAAGAGATGGCCATTCGTCAAAGAGAAGAGGAGACCGTGAGACAGACGCTCGCTCGCAAGGAGAACCGTCGTGCCCGCAGACTTGCACACGACGCCAAAAAGCGACGAGGTGTCTCGGCCTCCAGCCCCATCAAACCTATGGCGTTCAACCCGGACGACGAAGTTCCCACACCAGGCCTCTTCTCAAAGGAAGAACGCGAACTTTGGCCGCACACCACGGCCTTGTTCGACGAGATTCACCAATTCAATCTAATGATGGACATTCCCACGCGCCCGCGTGAGATGACATACGTCCACGTGCCGTACCATGGCATCACCAAGCTGGAATAGATCAGCACAAGTTCGAGCCGTGAGGCCGCCCCGCCCCTGCTCTCGAGACGAATGTCGAGACGAGTAACGGCACGGTGGTCTTGGGCAACCGGCTCGCCCTTTTTTACGTATGATCAAGACTAGTTATTCTAAGCGGAAAAAAAATTCGGGCTAAGCGGAGTCAGTGAGAGAGACTTTGAAAAATTCGTCAGCGAGCAAGCCGTGAGTGAGTATGGGTCGGTTTCTGGGTCAGTTGTACCTAAGCATTATTGATGGCAAGAAGATTAGCCACTCGTATGCTCAGTTTCGTCGACGGAAGTCGCAGGCTTCGTGCTACCGGAAGGTGGCATGTGGTGCCGACGTGGTCAAGTGCGGAGGGGCTGACCCGTGCGGTGGCAAGGCGGAGCCGTACGTGAACATATTTGTGGTGGATGGCGGCGGGAACAAGTATAAGGTGGGGCGGACGAAGACGGTATTTCCGACGAACGATCCAGTGTGGAACGAGCAGTTGGTGACGGTGATTGACACGGAGGACCGGGCGTACGTGGCGATCAAGGAGGTGACGAAGCCCTTCATCCAGCTGCAGGTCATGGATGACGACGGCGGTGGCGATCACTTCTACGCCGACGACTTGATTGGAGAGGCCGTGCTGCCGCTGGAAGACGTTATGTTGGCCTCGCCTCGCGCAGACGTGGAGACGCCGCGCGACTTTACACTGCCCGTTACGCACCCGCGCGATCGAGACAGCGCGCGGGCCGAAAGCTCCATCCGTGTCCGTGTCTGGTGGGAGGACATGGGCTCCTATGACGGCGTGGCCGTACCCGGGACGTACTTCCGGCGCACACGGGGCAACATGGTTCGTTTGTATCATGACGCACACTGCGAGGCGGGTGACTTCGAAAACATCCGCCTCCAAGGCCCACTGCAGAACTTGATGTTTAGCGCACAGAACTGTTGGGAAGACATCTATCACGACCTCAACAACGCGCAGGAAGTGATTCTTATGTGTGGCTGGTCAGTGAACACGGCACTCTCTCTCGTCCGCAACGACTCGACCTGTGGCGAGACTATCGGTGAATTGCTACTGCGCAAGGCCGAAGAAGGCCTCACAATCTGCGTCATGGTGTGGGACGATGTCACCTCCCTCTCCAACCTTGCCATGGCCAAGGACGGGCTTATGGGCACATACGACGAGTACACTCGCCAGTTCTTCGAAGGCACTCAGGTCCAATGTGTGTTATCCAAACGCGTCGCCGGCGATGACCAGGGAATCATGATCGGGCCTATGTGGTCGCCGTTGAAGGGCAGCAGCTTCACACACCATCAAAAAATTGTGGTTTGCGATGTGGATGCGGTCCAGGGTCTCCGAGGTAAGGGCTCCTACAAGAACAGCGACCAGCCGAAGCGGTGTCTGGCGGCCTACGTGGGTGGGCTGGACCTGACAAGTGGTCGGTACGACACAAGTCGCCACCAGTTGTTCAAGACGCTGACGTGTGAACACGAGAAGGATTTTTACAACGGCTGTTGTGCAGAGGTCGACTCCACTCATGGGCCGCGGGAGCCGTGGCATGACATCCACAGTCGTATCCAGGGTCCGGGTGCGTGGGACGTGTGCGAGAATTTCCTCGAGCGGCTGCAGAGCCAACAGCAGATCTGTTCGACTACGAATAAGTGCACAGGCTGCAATCAATGCAAGGCATACCGACTGGCCTCAACGCGGCTGGCACATACGGTGAAGAACAACAAGATCACTAGCAAGACGGCCTGTGGGGTGTCCACAGCGGATGTGAATGTGTGGAGCGTCCAAGTGCTACGTTCGATCGATACGATGAATGCAGTGTTGAACTCAGCGTTTGCAGCCCGTTATAATGACCCGACGGGGCTAATGACGGACAAGAGCATCCAGGCAGCTTATTTGTACAATATTGATCGAAGCAAACGTTACATTTACATTGAGAACCAGTACTTCCTTGGTTCAAGTCAGTACTGGCTAAGTCGGAGTGTACAGTCGGATCCGTCGAGCGGAGATGGGCAATACTCGGGTAATGAAGTGTTGTCTCCGCATCTGGTGCCATATGCATTGATGAAGAGAATTGCACGGGCGATAGCGCGGAACGAGGACTATTGTGTGTATATCATGACTCCGCTCTTCCCAGAGGGAATACCGACCTCAATGTCGGTACAAGAGATTCTTCAGTGGCAATTTCTGACTATGCAAATGATGTACTATCATGTGCAGCAGAAATTGCGGGAATACCAGAGCAACAAAGAGTGCACGGACTACTTACAATTCTGGTTCCCAGCCAAAATCGAAAAGAATCCCTGTTTCCCGAACAATCCCTATCCAAAAAGTACTGTCTGTGAAGGCACCGTAGCTAAATTCCAAATATACGTTCATAGCAAAATGATGATCGTCGATGATGAATACGCGATCATCGGAAGCGCCAATATCAACGAACGTTCCATGGCCGGAGGACGAGACTCGGAAATTGCTGTCGGGCTCTCACAAGAATACCTTCGATGCACCATCAACCTCGAAGCTGACAAACCCATCCTACCCAAAGGCGATATTTATGGGTTCAGAATGCAACTCTGGCAGGAACAGTTCGGATGCATCAAACCCGAGTTCGAAGACCCCGGCATCCCGGAATGCGCCCGACTAACCAAAACCATGACTACTGCAAATCTAGACGCACTATACAGCATCCAGAGCGATGCTGCACCCTACACAACCTACGACGTACACGCGGACAACCAAGGCAACCTCTCACTACCCTACGGATACGCCTGCAAACACCCCACCGAATACGACTCGAACGGAATTCTCAAACCCCACTCAAAATACATCAATATCATCAACTCAACCGCACCCGTCATCGGAGCCCGAAGCGCATTCCTGCCCGCTCCTCTTACAACCTAAGACTTATAAATGAGGCATACTCGGTCCTGAGGCATGCTCAGACCTGAGGCGCACCTCAGACCTGAGGCATACTCAGACCTGAGGCATACTCAGACCTGAGGCATACTCAGACCTGAGGCACACCTCAGACCTGAGGCACACCTCAGACCTGAGGCACACCTCAGACCTGAGGCACACCTCAGACCTGTAGGCACACTAGATTGTTTAAGCCATGGGGGTGCCCTGAACAGGATGTACTGGACAGGACGCGCTGCCTGGGACAGGGGCTGCGAATTTTTTTGTGTCAACGCAAGTCCGTTCATTGGCAGCAATTTTCCTCTCGACAGGAACTAATTGGGTCGGGAAGTGAAGGTAATTGCACAGACTGGCGCAAAAACGAAAGCAGGGCAAGAGTTGGGCAGAGTAGAAGACTTGACCGTGGAAGGTCACGTCAGGCAAGAGGATGGGGGTCGGGAAGACAGCACCGGGCGGCAAGTGGTGGGTCGACAGGATGACGGTGCCCGACAAGGGAACAGAGAGTTGGCGGCCAAGTACGTGGAGTATTTACAGTTGTTGTCGCACCAGTGGAGTTCTGTGAGGGCCGCGTCGTTGCTGACGCCGGAATTGATTGAGTATCTGCAGCCCCGCTATCATCGATGCAGCAGTCCTCTGAAGGTGCGCATCGTGTCGTCGTTGGTGTACTTGAGTTCGGAAATTCGCGTCCAGGCGAAAGACAGTCTTATCAAGCTGCTTGCCGAAGCGGAGGTGGACAAGGATGAGTGGGTGCGGAAGCTAGGCCGCCTCATGTCGAGCTTCGTAACCACCGGCTCGATTGACGTTCGAGATACGGACAGCGAGACCGCCTTCCAGATCCTGAAGCACGTAAACAGCAGCAACGTCAAGCACAAACCTCCGCTGGACATATCGGATATGGTTAATATTGTCCACGAGTACATGTTTGTTGAGTATATATTTGCCGAAGAGCAGCGCACACGTGTGTGCGGCGACGAACAAATCAGAGAAGACTCCGGCACTCTGCCTGGAAGACTGCCTGGCAGTCGCGGAGGCAAGGGCGGCCACCTAACCGACCCGACTGCCATGTCTGGCGGCTACCGGCCAAGCGGGTCCCTATATGGCGGGCCTCATTCGCGGCCGCCGACCCCAGAAAACCAAACTGCAGCATCTGGCGGCAATGGGTTGTACGGGATCAGAGGCGGGCCGCTGCCGGCTTCGCTGTTTGGCACAACGGATTTTAGGCCCGGCTTGGATCTGCAGCGCATGTACCAGGATTTGTGCAAAAAAGGAGACGTCCGACTGGAGGCCTGCCGAACCCCGTGGCCCTAAACTTATGCGTTGTAGCTGCAGCCTTTAATTTTAGGGGTCTTGATTTGGGGATCAGAAGACATCTGGAGATGTCTTGAATCTTGCAACCTAAAAATTCCGTTTGGTCGAGCTGCCGTCCACCTAGTCGAGCCGCATGCCTTTCGGTCCTGCACAAAAACTGTGCAATCTTCTGGACACCGTGCTTTAGGGAAATGCCGGATTAGACCTTCACGTCAAACACTGTTGATGGGGTGGCCAAGTCTTCGGTTGTTTCCTTAACTATTATATCGGGCGTAACTGCACTGGCCACCACACGATTGGATTTCATCGCATCTTCTTCGGTTTCAAGAACCACCACACTGTCGGCAACATCGTTCTCACTATCGCGCGCAGTGACGCCAGCCTGGTCGTGTTTCGCTTTAACGTAAATTGCGGAACCGACCGTCGACAAACCAATTCCGAGCAAGCTCTCTGCACTCACCTTGTCACCCAGGAAGATGATTCCTCCCAAGCTCTGAACTATAGCCTTGATCAAACCAACTATATTGAACGATAATGGTGTGGTACAGTTAATGAGCAGGTACTGGGACATGTTCAACGACGTTCCCAATAATCCTAAAAGCGGAACGTAGTCGTAACGTCGGAGGAGCGGTGTTGGCAGCTGGAAGGGTGGGTGGTCGTGGGAGGAGGCACCGTGGGACACATACCGCTCACTAAGATACCTCCCCAAACTACGAACATGCTGTGTTCGGCGGCATTAATTGATTGCCAGAAAGGCTCCATTCCTTCGGAAACAAACACGACCGGAACAAACAAAAATGAGGACAGCAATACATTATAGAATAACAGCATTTGATTATTGTTCTCAACGGCTGGTAGCGTGAATTTGATCAGGACATTATATAAGGCTTGGAAGAATGACGACAGTGCTCCAAATAATACACCGTACAGAGAAAGCGTTCCAGGGTCCAACGAATTGATAACAAATCCAGCCACCATCAGAACACATGCTGCCAGAACTAGCGGCGTCTGACTTTGTTTCAAGATTATATACGACAATAGCAGCACAAACAGTAGCGTTAATGATCTGGCCACCTAAAAGAACTGATGTGATTAGTCATCAACATGATCTTGGGACACGCCCATGTGCGCGCGCACACGTGTGTGCGCACACTTTTTCAAAGCGCGCAAACGCTCCTGGGATCATGTTCAGGAAATGAGAGGCACACTTACTTGATAGGTGGATATTTGGACCTTTTGTAGACACAGGTTAGACGCAGCAATCGTTAAACAAAATGAGGCACTGAGGGGTGCGACTTGGGCTAAGACACTTTTATGGAAGACCGGAGGAGGAAACACAGGCCTGATTCGCTGAAAGTAGAGGGCCACGGTGGAGCCGCCCAGGAAGATTCCAAAGCCAATAACTTGCTGCAGCCAACTGATGAAGACGGGGTACTTGAAACCAGAAGTGAAGAGCCACCAGTTAAAGTAGACTACCGCCAGACTAGTTACGCAGTAAGCAGTTATGGCGAAGGCCAGCCTCCGAACGGATGGACCTTCCATTTTAGTGTCCGTCATTTGCTGCATGCAATATGACGTGCCGTTAAATTTTTATCTGGGAAGTGCGGAACCCTCGAGAAAAAGCAACCGCCTGAAAAAGAAGGGTGATACCAGTATGTCAGCTTGACAGCAGCATCTAAAAGAGAAAAGATCTGCAAGGCAACTTGCGAGCCATAACCAATAGCTTGGTCTGGGCTAAATTCCTTGTAGCCGGCGTGGACAGTGGTGCAGACCATTCGTCCGGGAATTCATGGGCAAAGCCGGCCCAGATTCCCGGCCGGATTTCTGGCCCAGAGCCGGGCGGTCCAGAGGTGGATATGGGAGGCTAGGGGTGAGCTTTAGGGGGTTAGTGAGCGAGGCTTGTGACTGGGGCAGTGTGGCGGGTGCAATTACTTTTCGGTGGAAACTTCGAAGGTGTCGTCAACGGTCTTCTTGAGCCAGACACTTGGATTGAGCACGTCTGCGTCTCGCCGTAATACTGCCGGACTCTGTTGCGTGCCATGCCGCCAGTAGCCTTCGATGACGGCTTTTTCTTCGCAAAGCAGTAACTGGCCAAACCCGTGGAACTTGACCCTTCGAACACCCAGAGACGGCGGGTCGATAGAAATGCCGCCAGTGTACTGCCATTCCCGCACCTTCCGAACCGTCCAATTCACGTTCAGATCCAGGTCATCCACCATGTTCGAAGCCGTCAACCAACAGCCGTCGAACACTATGCAGCCGTCTTCACTCGTAGGGACCACGTCCACCAACTCCTTCAGCACCGGTCGAATAACGGACGGTGTCGGCCACCACGGCTCCAACGGCTCGACATCACTTACCATGCGGCTGAAGTTAAGAACACTTTCATAAACCGAACCAGCAACTACCGCATGGTCCTTCGCCGAATGGTCCTTCATCCTGCCCCCCTTAATCAACTGCTTCGGGTCGAACTTGTCCTTCTTGCCCCGGCCTTCGTCTTTCCAGCCATCTTTCCTGCCATCCTCTCGCCGACGGCTCTCCTTGGTTCCGGACTTGTGGGCGTCAGAAGCGACCCGCGCGAAGAAGGCTCTCGGAGAGAAATCCGTCCTAGTCTTCTGCCCTCCCTGGTCAGACAACGACGGCGCGGGCAGCAACTCGTCGGGTAGTAACTGGTCGGGCAGCTGCAGCGGGACGGTCACCACTTCCGTTTGACCAGGGCGGGCGCTGTTTGACTGCTCCGGGTGGTCATCCAATTGAGATGACGACTTCCGGCCGTCGAACGGATGCGCCTGCGATCCCAGACGGTAGACCACGCCCCGGATGTCCTCTGCTACGGGACTAGCCATGGGTCTAGCTGGGGGCTCTGCCATGGACCTAGCCGCGAGCTCAGCCGTAGGCTCTTGTCCCGCCGACTCTACCACCACCGCGGGCACGCCTCTAGCCTGCCGACTGGGGTCATGCGGACTTGGCTCATGCTGACTTTGGTCAGGGAAATAGATCTGGCTTGGATCGTCCGTTCCGGTGGCCGAGTAACCTTCAGAGAGCAGTCTCTGAGTCTCTGGTAGTGGCGAGTTCAGTGAAGGCTCCGGCCGAGAGCATTTTTCCGTGAGTAAGTTGGAGGCGTCTGACGGCTGCCAGTGCGCTCCCCAAGAGGAGCCCGGTAAGGGACTTGGTGCGGGTCCTTTGCAGGGCCCTTGATCGGAAGTGGGCGATTTCTCCAAGCCCGGTGACTCTTCAAGCAGAGATTCTTCAACCAAAGATTCTCCAACCAGAGATTCGCCTTTGAGAGGGGGTCCCTGAGCCGGAGATTCTTCAACCAGAAATTCTTCAACCAGAGATTCCTCGTTGAGGGGGTTCTCAGTGCAAGTTGCTGCCGGGTTCTGGAGCGATTCCGGTCCCCGTAGTTCTTCCATAGCTGGGTCGGAGGTCAAAGGTGAGAGTGTTTTGCGCAGACCCTCCATGGTCAAGTAGAGTGACTCCGAGAGGTGGCTGGTCTTGGACGGCGGCTGGTCGTCGTCGGTGGACCAGTCGCAGGAGGCGGTGGAAGAAATGAAAGTCCCGCTGGAGCGTGCATTATTCAGCCACTGGCCCACAAAGGCGGAGCCGTCCTCGAAGACCATGGTGCCGTTGCCGTGGAGCGACCCACGGTAAAACTCCCCACTGTAGACCAGTATGGTGCGGCTCTCGAGCACCGAGTTGGCTTCGTGGAAAGGCGACTGCCCCCCCGTGCTGGTCGTGGATAACCCTGCACTCGACTGTGCGCCTTGACGGGTACTCGATTGCCCGCCTGCAGTTTGGCCGTTTTCGTCATTGTCTTTGCGTTTGATATAGAGCGTGCCGAGTCCGTGGAAGCGGCCTTCATGCCAGTTGCCGGAGTATTCGTAGGGGTATTTGCCGTCGGCCCACTCGGGAACGACGAGGGGTGCTAGGGCATCGCGGTTGATGGGGAGTGCGAGTCCGGAGTTATTGACAAGTCGCGCGTTGCCCTGGAGGAGGCCGTGGGCGAAGGTTCCTTCGACCCTTATGTCAAGGGCCATGTGGACGTAGATGCCTACGCCGTGTATGCGGTTGTTGACGAACTGGCCGCAGAGCATTTCAGTGCGACTGCGGCAGAAGCCAATGCCCCATTTGGCATCTTCTTTCCAATCGCCGGCGTACATGCTGAGGGCAGAGCGATAGACGCCACGACCGTGGCGGCGGTCTTCTTTCCAATCGCCGTCGTAGACGACGTTCTTGCCCAAGTAACGTCCAGGCCCATGGCGCAGACTCCTGCGAAACTGGCCGCGGAAAATGTCGCCATTGTTATACACGTAATGTCCGAAACCGACACGAGGTGGTACGGTCCAGACGGGTATTTTGGGCAGAGAATTGAGTGCAAAGAAGGCCCTAAAGTTCCGCGTCTGTAACCACGCCTGCCAGAAGCCTTCGCCAAACTGCGAATACATACGCGTGCCCAAGACCGCTTCCAAACAATCCAAACGACGACCATCACCGCCTCCAAATGCCGCCAGCCGCGTCATTAATGCCACGTACGCACGTAACTGGTTCCGTACCTCGCTCTGCCGCAATTCCCTCCACAAACACTCTGGAAAATTCGACTCTCGGAAGCCACGACCTAAACGTAACCCGCGCCGGTCCTCTTCCGGCTTACGCAAACCACCGGCCTGACTCGCTGTCGACGCCCGACGCACCGATGGAATACTTGCTCGCCGAATCCGGTGCGCTACGAAACTAATAATCAACAAGACTAACAAATACATCTCTACGCCCACTCTACCTATACATGACCCCGGACTCCAGGTGACTTACTTGCGCAAATTCCGTTGGAATGTTTATGATGGTCTTCTGAGTTCCGCCTCGGTGAAACTTGTACCGAGTCGAAGATAGTGTTCTCCTCAGGCTCTGGCGCACTCGCCTCAATACCCAAGCCTTTGGACAGCTTACTGTCGAACTCCGCCGGTTGTAATACGCTCTTTAGCTGCTTATTTCTCACATCGATGGCCGTGACCTTCGAGCTGGGCAAGTGATGATGATGGACGCCCAACGTCTCAGGTGTGACTGTAATATCATCGTGCGGACAAATCACCACGAGATCCGATGGAACCTGACTCAGATAAACTACGTTTGTCGTCCCGATGATGTATGATCTTGCTTCATTCAATTCCTTTAATAAATCCAGGGAAGCATATGGCAGAACGATCGTGCCCAAATCAAATACATTAACCGAGTAGTGTTGATGACAAATTGGTACAATAGTAGTGAAATAAACCACTATCGATGACACTAATGACGCACTCGGTCCCCAAACTATGATCCTACATTCCAGGAGTAATGCCTTCATCACGGTTATTAAAACCTCTGAACTCATGATGTACTCATCAAAGTGTCCGGTGGGGGGTGGTTGAACCGTCATAGGGTTGAACCATATTAGGGTTGGAACCATATTAGGGTTGGAACCGTAATAGGGTTGGAACCATAATAGGGATACATGGGCTAGGGTAAGACAGGGACAAAGGTGGGTAAGGTGGTGGTACTTTTCGGTGTATTCTGTAGTATATATTCTTGTATGATATCTCGAGATTTCGATGTAAGATTTGGTTTCATGATCGTTTGGCTTTTCAGCATCTTTCTCGTGTACTCCTTGAGTGAATTGGGTATCATGTCCATGGATCGCTCAAGACCGGACTGTTGTAGTAGAGTAAGATGATAGCGAGGAAGTGTCTGAGTATCCATGATGTTCGTTGACCTGAGAATTTCCTTGTTAACAGATTCGTAGAGTAAAGACATGATCATCTGAGCAGACCTGAAATCTTTTCTCTCGAAGAGCTCTTCACAGTATTCTCTCGTAAGTCTTATCATTAGGTCCCAGCAGGGAATCTCGCTTACTACGACCAGAGATTTTTGGATAACTGACCGAGTGATGGATGGGTCGGCGGTATAACTCATATCCTTCACGTCAATCGCACTCATTGTGGAGACACCGTATAAAGGGATCCCGCTAACTGTCGGATATATGACCAGCGTCGTTTCCGAAGACAAGCGGTGGCTGCCGTCCGGCAAGGACAGGCTCGGCATATGTCGAAAGCTACTAAACAAGTCATTGTATCGGTACAGTCTGTACACCTCCATCAAGTCACCTACATACCGCATGCCGTCGACCCCGCTGCTTCTCACGCACGGCATCCGGTCAACGCCCATCTCTTCACCAATTCCAGACAGATCTTTGAGTTCATCTAACACGCTAGGATACACGCATTCCAGCTCAGGCCCTTGCGAGTGATGAAAGCCGACCAAACATACTCTATAAACCAAGCATACAGGAGAGCCATAGGGCACGAGTCAGGCGTAGGAATCAGGGGCAGGAGAGTCGGGAGGGGAAAGAAAGCGTCGGTAAAAGAGATCGAGGACCGGGAGGTGAGTGCTAACGCAAGAACGGGTGGACCGCTGATGAGTGATTTAACTGCGATGTCGTTGGTAGGGTCCTTGTTCGGGACTGCGCTCGCTGGGTTGGACGATTGTTTGTTGCTGCGGGTCTTGTTGCTATTTCCCCCGACTAGCCGCGCTCCAATGGACCTCAACCCATCAAGAATCATAAGGAAAACGTTATTGGTTGCGGCTAGTTAAGGACAGGTGCGTACGAGCCAATGGTTTGAGTGGTGGTCACAAAAAAATGCGTTATTATCTATCTATCTAAAACTGCTCGAGCACGGTGAATTCTTCACCACCGAAATCCTCGACGGAGCTGAAGTCCTCGTCATCCAAGTCCAGGTCATCATCCACATCGTCAGTGGCAGGGGTCGGGACAGTCTTGGAGGTGGTCGTGGTGGTAGTGGTGGTCGTGACGCCAGGGAGGTTGGACTTAAGGACGCTAGTGAGGAACGACTCCTTGAGTGCCGCCCCCTCCTGAGCACTTCGTTCAGAGAGTGGTCGGCCAACGAGCCAGTCCATAAGGGCGCCCGGAGACATAAGGCGGGCTGCCGAGCAGATGTTATGGATGTCCTCGGCAGTCTCTTTGACATAACGCTCCATTAGGCGGTCCCTAATTTCCTCGTTTCTCAGCATGGTCTGCACGCGGTTCATGAAGGCTCCGTTGAACTTGCCGTTGAGCAGCTCGTCCATGGTCGAAGGCATCTTATCCTCAGCCAAATCGCTGCTTTTGTCCATCGCAAAGACGCGAGCAAACGGACCGTTGTAAGACGACGGGACAATCCCGTGGAAGATGGACGCAGGCGCCTGACCCGGCACATACTTCAACAGCTCCTCAAACGGCTGCTGGCCGGGCACGGTCTGGGGTAGGACAGTGTAGCCGGTCTGCTGGGTGGGCATCGGCTGCTGAGCAGCGTTAGCCGGCACGTAGACCCATCGTCCCTCGGGCTGAGCACCAGGCGTCTGCGCGGTGGGCTGAGCAGCAATGGGCTGAGCAGCAATGGGCTGAGCAGCAGGCTGAGCGGTGGGCAGGGAGCCCGGGGTCAACACGCATTGACTGGTAACTTCTTGGTTGCACGCTGCGCAGTCCTCGCGGGAGCTAGCCTGGAATACCGGAGACGCGGTCTGGAATGCCGGGGACGTAGCCTGGAAGACCGGGGCCATGTTGGCCGAGGTCGGAACCATGCTGTCCACGGAGGGGGTTGCAACCGGGGTCTCTTCCGACGGCGTGATGACACTCGGGTTTACAAACACATCAGCACACACCCGGCCAACGCGGACCAAGCCCTGCTGCTCGTCCTGGCTAGTGACCATGACCGCCGCAAGGGACGCGACCGCCATGGAACGTAGAGGAGTCCTGGAGGCGACAGTGGATACCGGCATAATGTCTTTCTTTTAGAATTTTTTGCTTCTGAAAAAAAAATTGCCGTGACATAACAAACCGGCAACTGCCGGCATCCAGCCAGACACACGCCGCCCATTTAGCGAGACATTGGCTCTGCCAACCCGGCTACCATCCTGGCTACCATCCTGGCTACCAACCCCCTCCCTCCCCCCAAGCACCCGGAGACCCGGAGACGGCACCAGAGCCGGTATCATAGCAGGTCACGAGGGTCGGCGAGTCGCGGGGACGGCTGGCGAGTTATAGGGGCTACCGACGTGGATGAGTGACGTAGGAGGCGGGGAACCAGCCTTGGACCTGCGGCCTGTCGGCTAACCGTCCGTAATTCCAGGCGTCGGCGGTGGCGAGTACTTCTATCCGCGTTCCGCGTTCCAGACGTAAGATGAGGCTGCGGTCGGCCGCGACGCGTTGGCCCTCGAGTGTCTCGCCCGACCAAGCCGCGACGGCAGCCACGACTGGGAGTGCACCCTCCCATACCAGCACCGGGAGCACGTTACCAGCGGCAAAGGGTGCGGTTCGGTCCAACATACGGTCGGCCAGCGTGTTTTCCAACACCGCCAACAGCCGCTGCTGTTCCGAGGGCGACACGTCAGCCAGCAACGCCGGGTTCCACCACTCACCCGTCACACCTTGGCACAACTGCACATTCGACCGCATCGCCCACTCCGGCATCTCACGCCGCAAAGAACTCAGTCGTTTGTGCACATCCGCCACTGTCCTGCGGTAGTCACCCGTATTCCTGCAGTCCCCGCTCGTACCCACTGTCCGGTAGTCGGGACCTGTACTCCGATAGTCGCCCGCACTCCGGTAGTCTCCAGCGGCGGTCCTGTAGTCGTCGCCGCCTGTCCTGTACCCGCCTCGCGAATAATCATTCCGAAATGGCTGCATGTCATTCAGCAACCGCGCCGACATGTCTTCCTGCACGGGGGCCTGCAGCCCACCGTCTAGAGACAAATGCATCACCTCCGGCCCCGGTCCTCGGTCCTGTCCCGGTCCTCGGTCCTGTCCCGGTCCTCGGTCCTGTCCAGACCCACGGTCTCGTCCAGACCCGCAATCTTGTCCGGACCCGCGGTCTTGTCCATTATTTAATTCCCGTATGTCCCCGAGACCCCCTAGCTCTGGGTCAGCCACATTATACAGGCCCGGAGAGTTCCGATCCGCCGGACCCCTCCCGGTGTCTGTCGGGCTCCGCAAAGAACCGTTGGCCTTCGTCTGCACCAGAACTTGTCTGTACGAAGGGACGGCACTCGAAGGTGGCTTCATGACCGGTGGCGACATGAGCGGGTTGATTGGAGGGTAGGGGAGCGACCTTTGTTTATCCATTCCTGCCTTATCTAGTCCTGTTTTATCTAAACCCGCCTTGTCTACTCCTGCCTTATCTATCCTGGGCTTTTCTGCGGTTGTCGGAGATTTGTCCACCGAACCAGCGGGCAGAGGAACCCCAGGGGGCAGCGGAACATCAAGGGACAACGGAACGCCAGTCGGGAGAGATGCAGGGGCTGTACCAGCTGGGCCTGTGGAACCAGGCCGAGAAATTTCTCCGAATTTTTGCGACTGTGGAGTCGTAGGAGTTTGTGAACCTCCCCCACCACTGCTTCCTTGTACAGGACAGAGGTCATCATATATATCCAAGGCAACAAGGTAGCTGAGATCGTCATTTTCTTCTGCCAAGGGTTCCAGAATTTCTTTGAGGTCATTTACTTTGGCCAGCACTTCGTTAACGTCATCTGTAGACAGGGCATTGTTCCTCAATTTGCGCAGACAGTCATCTAACCGCTCCACGTGGCCGGTATAACATTCGACAGCGGCCAGCAACGTCTGATACCTCGGGTTGTCTTCCACAACTGTGTTGTTAACAGATCCTTTCTTACCCGATGACTTACCCCGTTGTCTATGAAAAGATTCAATCTCTGACGTCAAGAGGTCCGTTTTGTTTTGCATAAGGTCTATATATATTTGCATCCAATTGTATGCGTCTTGGAGCAAGCTGGCCTGCTCATTTGTCGTGTCTTCCGAACTGACTCCTCGCAGGTAATAAATTTTTCCCTTCCTGTGCCGCGATTCTATCTCTTTCTTCGCTTCTAGCAGGTCTTCCTTAGTAAACGAAGTCTGCCGCAGATCTGCATGCGTTATCCAGTCCATCATTTGCTGCCGATATCGATACACTTTCTTCATCAACATTTCCAACTCCGTCTTCAACTTTTCTTTGACCTCTGCCACCTGCCTTTCAGTCATCGTAGACACATCTACGGTTATATACTCCTGATGATTGGCAGCCGACGAACCTCGCTGACTCCTGGATCGTAAACATCCCAATTGCAATAATTCCGGAGCTTCCGCCCGAATCTTGCCACTCCCTAACGTAGCCCAGTCCGGATTTGCCGACGCTTCGTTATAAGACTTCAACTCTCGCCACTTCCCGTCGTATATCTATACAAACACACAATTACACTTACCCGCCCAGAATCATTCTAAACCGACGTTTGCGCCGGAACATGTTAGCGCGCGCGCGGAAACAAAATAAATCATGCAGCATCCACATTCTCGACTCCTACCTGCATATTCAACTGCGCTTCTCGAAGACATTTTTCAATTTCTCCTTGGAGTTTCTTGGACATGTTAGTCACACAAGACAAAGAAAAAAATGGGCCGCTGCTCACATCCCTCAAAAATTTACGACACTCTCAATACCGCCAGCGGCGGTAGCCATCAATCATTCTTCTTGGAGCCACGTCATCCATATCACCATTCCAGTGAGAACTTTGTCGGATTGAGTCTTGCAGAGTGTACTCATCAATTAGACCTTGAGCGGACGCCCGAGGGTCCACAGCGAGTCTTGCGTCACCTACATTTCGGCAATCACCGACGCGGGACTCCCCGGCGGCCAGCCTGTATTCAGCTGAGAGTCTGCCACCATCTGTCTGTCTGCCGCCGTCGAACGAATCAGCGCCAATCGGGCTCGTTCTGTCATTCAGTCTATCCGCGTTCAGTCTGTCCAAATTCACCCTGTCTAGACTTAGTCGATCCACACTCAGCCTATCCACGTCACGACGGTGATCCGCGTCATTTAGCCACCGGTCGTGAGTCAAGGAGGAGTACCTCCTGCGGGAAGTCATTTTCGCAGGTGCCCGGCCAGTATATCGCCAGGCGCTGTCGTAGTAGACCGGAGGAGGCTCGGTAATGGGACAGAGTCGCCACTGCCCGCTGGGCCCAAGAATTAACGGAACACCCTGAGGCAATGGTTCGTCGCGCCATTCCGTCGGATCTTGAGCCGCCGTCTGACGAAGGTAAAAGTCTCGAGACACGTCGTGAGACAAGTCATGAGACATGTCATGAGACAACGGCCGATACGAGGTCCCGAGACTGGTGGCTGGCGACACGGGTTGTGGTTCGTCGTAAATGTAGTCGTCTTGGATAGCCGCCAAGTAACGCTGAGGGCGGTAGTGAGGGGTCCGGGGATCAAGTCGTGTCTGAGAGTCAAGTCGTGCTTGAGGGTCAAGTCGTGCTTGAGAGTCAAGTCGTGCTTGAACGTCAAGTCGTGCTTGAGCGTCAAGTCGGGCCTGAGCGTCAAGTCGTGCTTGAGCGTCAAGTCGTGCTTGAGCGTCAAGTCGTGCTTGAGAGTCAAGACGCGCTTGAGACATGAACTTGGCAGCAGGACGCCGGCTTTCGGACTCGTAGTAGGGAGTTTCGTCCAACACCACGCAGGCGCTGGGGTCCAGAATAGCTGATTCCTCATACCGCAAACGGCGTTCATCCATCGGCGGCACTGGGAAAGACCCACCGAGGTAATGCGGCACCCGCAGGTCCTGTGCCGTCGGCAGTACGTGACTGCCGCCCACCGGACCCACGGGGTACCGCACAGCTCCTGTGGCCGTAGACGAAGATGAAGGGGCCCCCACGGTAGTCAGCTCGTCTTCTTGCTCTCTCGCCTCCAGCATCGTGCACTTGGACTCCTGGTCCGTCCACTCCCGCTCTCTTGCACCCGGCGGAACTGGAACCAGAGCAGCCTCGATCTCAGATATAGACGCAAGGCGCCCGACAGACCCCGGGTGTCCTCCAGACCCCGGGTGTCCTGCAGACCCCGGGTGTCCTGCAGACCCCAAGGGTCCTGCAGACCCGACGTGTCTCGCTCCAGCGTGGCCACCAGACCCAACGGCGTACGACGCAAACACGTTCGGGTCCAAGGCTACCGGCTCCAGCGGCGTCGATTCCAACAGACGGCCCGGCTGTCGCTCACGTCGCCCACAGGCGCGGTCACAGCCGGCAAAAGAACTGCCGAAAGGCTCATTGTCAAACGCATATGGTCGCTCTCCGCCCGGATACGGTGACCTTTCTCCGCCCGGATACGGTGACCTTTCTCCGCCCGGATACGGTGACCTTTCTCCGCCCGGATACGGTGACCTTTCTCCGCCCGCATATAGTGATGTCTCTCCCCGAGGGCGTGGTCGGTCCCCCACAGGGGTTCTTACACCGTCCACCGGAAAAGGTTTTTCGATGTTATATTGTAGGCCTGTGGGCAATGCAGCAGGTGGTGCCGACGAGTCGGGTGTATTTGTTGTCGATGGGCTCTCTTCAGTGGTTCCCTTTTGCCCAGCTTTCGGACTGTTTTCCTCTTGGCCTTGGTTGGAGTCTTCTTGTTGGTGAGATTCGAACTCTCGAATTTGGACCAGTAAGGAACTCTCGTCATTAGCATCCCTCATGAACCTGACTTTTTTGCTCAGGGACCGCTCACGAGTGGTGGAGCCTACATGCTGGAGAGAGAAGCTCGCGAACAATTACTCATCTTACCACTCGGCTGCCCAATACATTTCTGGGGGTGTCCTCGTTTGTCTTCCTAAGTCAAAATAAAACTGCAGCCTGTTTCGCTCTTACGAATGAGTTCGCGCTGGAGCATTTGTACTTCTTATCAAACTGCGAAAGAGCGTGCTGGATGCCATCGACTCATCTTCGGGTTTTCCGGGACTGATGTCCCATTACCCGAAACCCATTTTTTATGGGCACTCTCGAACACTTCTTCGTGAGACCAAACCGGGAACGAGGAGGAGGTACGAACACATTCTGCACACACTTAACAGCCGCACACACTCTGCTGTATACACCGTCCTGTCGACCTTTCTCACAGTATTCTCCCCCCCCCCCCTTCTGAGTTGTACTTCTGAGTTGTACCTCGGAGTTGTACCTCGGAGTTGTACTTCTGACTTGTACTCCGGAGTTGTACCTCGGAGTTGTTGCTTGATGATATGGTAATGTGCAGTGCCGTCTCAGATTGAGATACCAGTCCCCAATAAATTTGTGACATGGAATGTAAATGGTTTAACGAGTCGTATGAGAGCTACCGCGGAGTGGGAGTCGTTCAGTGAGTGGGTAGAGACCCAGACGCCGGACGTGATTTGTTTGCAGGAGGTGAAGTTGGCGGCGTACGGTTCGATAAGTTCGGTGAAAGGCGACGGGAAGCCTCGAGATCGTGGCAAGATCAAAGACAACACCAAAAGCGCGATCCCGGACGCAGATATTGTTCGACAGAAGTTACAGCGTAAACCATTTTCTCAGTACCAACAGTTTTGGTCCCTGTCCGACTGGAGATATTCCGGTGTCCTGGTTCTCGTTCGGAAGCCCATTAAGGTGTTGAAAACAAGATTTAACCTGGACCCCGACCGGCCCGCCAGCGAACACCACCCTGATGGAAGAGTGGTCGTCCTCCAGTTCCCGAACGTGGACTTTGTCGGCACCTATGCTCCCAACCACGGTTGGGAACCGGGACACTGGCAACGACGAGAAGAATGGGATAACGTTTGCCTCAACTACCTCATACGAAGACAAGAGCGCATTGACGGAACGAAGAAGGAAGAGAGAGCGGAACAGAACAAGCGGGAAGTGGGGGGGGAAGCCGGAGCTGAAGAAGAAGGGAAGCCGCTCCTGTGGATGGGTGACTTGAATGTGGCTCCGACGGACTTTGACTTGACTCATCCTGCTTGGTTCAAAGTACAGGTCCAGAGAGGTTTTGGTCGCGGCACAGCCGAAACGGAGGTTCCACCGGAGTGCTTGGGACAGCCTGGTTGCACGCCCGTGGAAAGGGAAAATTTTGCGTCCTTGCTCAGCCAGGGTCATATGACCGACGTTTGGCGACACTTCAATCCCGAGGGACCGCCGCCCTCAGACCGAACGTCCTCTGGTCCGGGGTTGGTGTCCCCTAGTCGTGGGGGGGGCGCCGGGGATGTCGCTAACAGTTGCCTTTGGGACGTTGAAACGGCCCACTGGACTTGGCGGGGCACTCCGGGAAATTTGACTCCCGAAGCAGGAAAGTACTATTCCAAGGCAATGAGAATTGACCACGCAGTAAGTCGACAGAAGGTCGGGGAGAAGGTCTGACGAATGGGTTTGTGGGGAGAGTGTTTATTGGGATATCTATTGAAGGGATATTTACTGGCTAGGTTGATTGATGTTCTGGTAGTTGATAAGTTCGGCGGCGATCGGACGGGTGGAGTCTGTGGAGATTGTTGGTTCCGGTTCGGCTCGAAGGAATTTCTGGGGGTCAGATCACTGTCCGATGGTGGTGTGTTTGTGGCCTGTGTCGAGGAAGCGTGTGTTGGTGGTAGGGGAAGAGGGTCGGAAGCAGTTGCGCGGTGAGGCGCGCGTTAGTGTTTGACGTTTTCCGTCTTTGAGATCGAGGTGTGTGTGGAAAAGCACAGGGTTAATTAGATGCGAGTGCTTGCTTGCTTCGTCGCCGTCTTTGCGGAACAGGACTTGCAGGGCCGACAGAAAGCGTTTGCGAGCCGTGGTTACTACGGTGGGATCGCGCCCCCGATGTTTGAGCCTGCGTTGCCTGGGCGGGCGTTTGAGACTGCGGTTTACGAAGGACCTTATTACGACCAGCCGGCGGCGGTGTTGTACGAAGACAAAGTGGTGGAACAGGTGATTCAGCAGCCGGTACAGATCTGTCCGCGCCAGGAGTACGTGTTGGTAGGAGATGAGTGTTGTCGGGAGTTGCGCGTTGACTGTCGCATAGACTGCCCGGCGAGCTTCCGCTATGACGGCTTCAAGTGCTTCCAGTTCTACGAACCCACTATTTACTGCCCTGTCGGCCACCTCATGGGTTCCCACTGCCACCACGTGGAGTACGTCGAAGCGCGTTACGAATGTCCGCTGGACACCATTGTGGACGTTGACGGCAGCTGCTTCGCCATAGAGCAGCTACCACCGGTTGAAATCTGTCCCGGTTCCACTATCCGAAGCAAGAACGGCTGTCTGGCGGTGGAGTACAGCGAGCCCGCCTTGGTCTGCCCTCCCGACACTGTCCCTGATGGGAAGCGGTGTCGGCGCGAAATAATTAACTGGAAGATGAAGAAGGGTCGCCGTCTTTCGGAAGAGGGGGAAGACGAAGAGTTGGAAGCCATGGGTAAGAGGAATGCATTCGGATATGAGGAACTTTCCTTCGGTGACCTGTACGCCGATATTTCGATCGCGGGTCCGGTGAACGAGTGCCTCTATGGAGACTGTCTTGGTGAATGGTTACCCGCAACTCCTGAAGTGAAAATCAAGACCAAGAAAGTGAAGCAGCCGATTGTGAGTGAGCAGATGAAATGGGAGAAGGTTAAGGTACCTGTGACTACGGCTAAGGTGAAGGACGTTAAGGTCAAGGTTCCTGACGTGAAAGTCAAGCCCATCAAAGAGAAGCCTGCCAAGACTCCACACGAAGTCGTCAAAGTCGTTACTCAAGCTGCCGAAAAGGTCTGCCCCTTCGGTCAGAAACACGGTAGCACTTGTGTTGCCGAAACGATCGTGCCTCCTGTCCTCGAATGCCCTCTGCCTGGCCTTGGACCCAATTGTTCACGCAAGATCCCCGTACCTTCCGTCCCCGTCTGCGCTTCGGGTGACTTGATGTGCGATGCAGTCTCCTGCCGCTGCGCCACCTACCAGGAGCTGTTGCCCGAAACCGCCTGTGCCGGCGGCCACCGTCTCCTCGACGGCCACTGTATCATCGAAGTCGCCGCCGAAACACTCTGCCCAATCGGTTTCTTCCTGGACTCCGACGGCACCTGTGTCCGAGCCGACTGTGAACCCGCACTCAGCATCGTCGCTGTACCCAACCCCACCAAAGCGGTCGTCCAACCCATCTTCCCTCAACCCGTCACCCAGCCACCTCCCATGGTCGCGCCCATGCCCATGTACGGCCGACCCATGATGAAAAAGGGCAAGAAACTCATGGACGACAGCGACGAATACTATTACGAATAGACACACCCGCACACAACGTGATTTTATACCTACCTAACCCACCAGTTAGTCTTAACTCCGAATCTTTGTATGAACCCAACTAACTCGTTATGCACAATACCGCTGCGGCTCAGTCAGTGATTCCGACCAGTCATCCCAGGGTAAGGTTTTTGGGCGAGTCTCAAAAATGGCTCTAGCGGAGGCGACGGATGGGACCATCAAATGGTCAAAGGAGCAGAGTTCGTCCGTTACGGAACTTTTATCAAGTGAAGAGCCCTCTTTGATCAACGTTTTGAGCAGCCCCAGCCTCCTTTTCGACGTGCGGAATAGGTTCCCCTACGTAATTGAATACTTGGCCAAACCAGAACATGTAGTGGCCTACGCGAAGATACTTACTAAAGAAGACGCTCCACCGTACAGCTCCATATCTTCGATAGACTGTATCCCGAAGCCAGGAACCCCTCCTGAACTGCTGCCCTCAGCCTCCTCATATCCCGACGAAAATGAACGACTACGGCAAATAGTGACCCAGCTTCTCAGTCTAGACTGCGAACAAATACTCAAGTACCTTCACCCCCC